ATATAGAGTCCCTGGTAAGTTTTTAAATTGTCACACCTTATAAAAGTTGATAATTTTTAACTGTGTATAGAGAAGTCGTTAAAATAAACATATTAAAAAAAAATGTATCCTTTTCACGTTTAACGTGTTCAAGCACTACAACTTGAAGATTTCCCCTACATAGTTCAGTTTTGTGAATGGTTTTTACAACAGAATGCGACGAAATTTCTAGACATTACTTAAGTTAGACAGGGCCGTATTGAATACATTGTGGAAAAAATGATTGTAACTATTTTATTTTCGAGTTTTTTCGAAAAATAAACTTGAAAAATTATTTAAATGATTTCTATACAGTTAAAAAAGTATCAACTTAGGATTCACGCTGTATATACATATAAAAAAAAATGTCGTTTTTAACAGAAATACGAATTAAAATTAGCGTCACTGGCACTATGCACTACTCGTCTATTATTTATTAAGTTACAATGGGACACCATAATAATAAATAAAAATGTAGTCATTTCAGTAATAAAAATGCTAACTTTGAATGTTATAAATTAAGAGCATTATAAAAATATTTAAAAATAGAAACTAAGAAAATAGTTGTAAGTTGGCTTCATATAGAAAACTTTTTTATATTAATTTTATCAAAAAAAAAATGTATTCTTAATAAAAAACTGTGCATTGTCTAAAAGCTAAAATACAACCAACAGACATCAAATTTTATGAGTCGTTTGTCAAAAAAAATATTTTTGGTCAAGAGTGTACATTAATTTTTGACGTACCTCGCATATGACTCAAAAAAATTAATATCTGATGATTGAATATGTTAGGTTTTTGGACTATGCAGAACTTTTTACAAAGCATACGTAGACACACAGTATATGGGTTTATATTTTACGGATACAGCAGATATTCAAATCAAATGTCTGTAACATGGAAAAGAGCATTGAGAATTGTAGGAAGCTTAAAATACAATGAATCTTGTAGAGAGTAGTAGATGATTGAATTTACTCAACTTTTTTGGAATATTTCTTTAAGAATAGGCATAAATTTGAAATATTTGAACCCCAACATAGATATAACACAAGAAAACTTTGCTACAACTACCCTATACATAGATTAACTCCAACGGAAAAAAGTGTAAGGTATAACAAATAGCAAAAGATTTTATATTAAATTGTTGCCATCTGAAGTAAAGTTAATAGAGAGCATTTTTAAAATTGAGCCTTGCTCTATTAATGATTATATAGAACATAAAATAATGTAAATGCCAGATAGTAGTAATACAATCTTTTGGGTGAAGATTATTCCATTAATTTTACTTTACGTACAAGTATACAGGGACTTTTAAGTTGTTACTTTTTTTTTAACTGTGAATCACAATTTGTTAAAATAAACAACTTAAAAAAAAACTCAAAAATAGGAAACATTAAAATGTATCAAATACGGTCCTGCAAATGATGTTTTCACCATTCACTGTAGTGTTGAAACAAGATAAACCGTTCTCTGTACATTCAGTAGCACATCGATGAAGCACTTTGAGGCATATGCATTTTAAAGACATTCGCCATAAAAGTAAGATATTCTTAAGTTCATTGTTGTCATATAAACACTTTACTAAAAACCCAAGTAAATTACAATGACCAGTGAAGCGTGTGATTCTCGATAAAAATCTAAAAAAGATAAAAATGAAAACTTCTCATTTAGCTTAATTTTTAATACAAGTCCAGGCTCGGATTTAGATTTTTTAATTCGCTATCTTTCTTATTTTTGAGTTTTTTTAAAGTAAACGTTATTTAAAAAGATTCACTATGTTACTGTAACTTTCTTGAAATAAAATATATTTTTTATTTAAGTAAATGTTAATTAACGTGTTTTTAAAGCATGCTCGAATTCTTACCACCATCCATGTAAGTTCCTGTAGGCTACAGCGGCGTCGTTCTGATCGGCACATTTCAAATAAACGGCACTGGTGGTGTTGTCGACCGAGCAATGTAGAATTCGGCATTGATGCGCGCACTTGCTAAGCACCGCCTCTCTGATCATGTGCGTATTGCGATCGCCGTCCTCGACCATACCGCGAATCTTCAAACATGGCGTTGGCGAGCACGGCAAACTATTGACGGAGCCCACTTGGGTTTCGAACGCTTGACCTTGCCAACTTTTGTTTTTCGGCGATCTGCAAATGTCAAATTAGGAGGCCTTTCTAGCTTTTAAGGTTTTAAAAATAGTTTTTTTTTTATTTGTAAGAAATAAAAAAACTTCGAACAATACTGAGCACATGTGAAAATGGCAATCATCCCAAGTAAAGGGTGTATCTTATAGTGGTACACGATGTTTTTTTTTTTTTCAAATAACTTGACAATCAGGTGACAGATCGCCATGTTTGTTAATGTTTTAGAAACGTCAGTCCAGTACAATTTTAACAATCACATTCGAATCCTTTTTGAGGATTCGCGAGCGATATTCGAATACTTAAGAAAAAAAAAAAAGGATTCGTGATCCGGATTCGCCGAGGAAACCCTTCGTATTCGAATCACCAATATTAGTCTCGGATCCTTTTAGAGACCAAACTACGCCGGCGCGAACAGTCGACTCACGCTTTAATTTGTCGCGAAGTGAAAACTGAAATAGATAGACTGAAGACCGATTGTTAATATTTAGAAAATAAACACGTAACAATCTGCAAATTAATGTCAAAGAAGACAGCAGAGCACCTAGACAATTTTGAGTTGAAACCTACTCCATACTTTTAGGTTATTTTAAGGCTATTTTTATACCCTATTCAAACATTTTATGCTCCTCGTTTTTTTTTGCAAAAATCAAGGTTCTCTGCTTGCTTCAAACGAACCCAGCAGAGCACCTCGGTTTGTTAAAGCTTTTTTTCTAAAGACAACCACACCGCATTTTTAGGCTCTTGAAATATAAAACTTTACTAAAAAATTGCTATTTTTAAATAATACAAGGTGCTTTGTTGGAACAAAGTTAGCAGAGCACCTTGGTTTATTTTATTTTTCTGGAGACATCTACTTATGTCACATGTATTCGCTCCGTGCGCGACAGCAGCGCCAGTTCGTTTTGATACTAATGGACTATTTCTGCATACACTGACAAATGCAACTTTTAATAGAATTCGTAATTAAAAAGTATATATGGTAGTTTTAATAAAAGTATATGGATTTGTAAAACAAGTAAAACATTAATTTATTATTATTATTATTATATATTTTTATCGCTTAAATTAAAGAAAATTATGTATACTCGATAAAAATCAATAATAAAATATAGGCAGGCAACAGTATTTACTGGAAAATGTATGAGAAGTTGCCTAAGTCTAATAAGTTTTTATTGAAGAATTACTCTATTCTGTCAAAATAAAAAAATACCCTTTAATAATAGCGTGAAGTTAAAATGTATAAAAAAAGGATCATTACTTATATTTTCATTTTTGTTCGAAAGAAAACATAGAATGAATGATTAAAACAGATTTCCCATCAGTAAGTTACAAAATTGCGTTCCAACCACATATAATAAAGGCAAAAATCTTGAAATCTAGTCCTTGCTGAATGAACATTTAAGAATAAGGGATATTAAAGAACATGGTAAAATGATAATTTATTGTTGATTTAAAACCTTTCAAGTTTCTGATGTCTACTATTTGCAGCATTACAGTTATTATTACAAAAATAAAGGTAATTTTTCTTATTGTATATCTATCCATTTATTTCTTTGATTTAATTTCCACTTTGCTACTGAAATTTTTTATATAAGTTTCACTGTTTTTTTGCTAGTATTTGTACAATTTTCAACACAGCAACTCCGGTTGCTTATTGTATTGTTTTTACCTACTTTTTTTGAAAAAAAGTAAAATGTATACGTGTATTGGATATGCCAAAATTACAAAATATCGCCCTAAAATGCACGAATTATTCGCAGCTAGCGCTAGTATCGCTTTTGCTTCCCTTTCCATGAATTCGCACGGAGCGAATAAGCTATTATTAGGCTCTTAAAAAATTATAAAACTTTTTCAAAAAAAGATTGTTTTTTTAAAAAATACATGGTGCTTTGTTGGAACAGATGTGCTTTGTTGGCTTCGTTCGAAGCTAGCAAAGCACCCTGTAATTTTTAAAATATTATTTTAAGAGCCTAAAAATATTGTGTCGTTGTTTTTGGAAAATCGGCGCCACGGTAACAGTCAATGGCAAGCGATATCGGGTCATGTTACGCGATTTTGTGGCAAATGAGGTGGACGAACATGACATGGGCGACTATTGGTTCCAGCAAGATGGCGCAACATGCCATACAGTCCGTCTAACAATGGATTTCAATAAAAAAAAAACATTTTTTACAAAAAATTCACTGTTTGTCAAATTATTTAAAAAAAAACTTTGGATGCCACAATAAGATACACCTTTTACAATCCAGACTTTGCGCCTTGATCTTTTTTATCCCCACAATTCGCCATAAAAGTATGACATAATTTTTGATTACGATTTTGATATTAAATGAATTATTTGTTTTTTCTTTATTGTAGTTTCAATTCGAGGTAATAAACTTTGCTTACAATAAAAATGTCAAGTAATAAATGCAATTTTGTTGAAGTGGCTAAAGTATCAACCCAAAATATTTAAATTTTACAGTCAACTCCAATTATGATTTTTCTCGATGGCTAATTATAAATATGCTTCTCTGAAATATATTTTCTTCATTTGTATTTTTTCCATCAGTTTCTAATACAAAAGTATCATAAAAACCACACTAAAATTGGTGAATTTAAGAATAGGTTTTCTTAAACTTCAATAAAAAAAATAACCTCAATAATGATAATACAGTTTTATTAGCTATAAAAACATTCAAACAATATGATTTAACATAAACTATTTTTTTTATAAAAACAAATATATTTATTAAATGAGTATAATGATTTAACTTACATAAACAAACTAATTTTTTTATAAAAACAATAAATATATTTATTAAATTAGTATAACGATATTTATAGTCTTATATCACAATGACTTAGAATGTTTCAATATACTACCTCATAATATCTAGATTGGGTTAGGTTTAAAGATTATTTCAATATACAAAAAATGCAGTTATTCTGAGAATTATTAACAGTTATTTTTTATGTGCCAAATAAAAAATACTTTGCAATAAACCAAAATTAATGAAGCTTTAATTTTTCTTTCTTTTATTGAAATAGTCCGTTTTCGACTTAAATCTACCGAATAAAAAATATTGCCGTTTTAGAAACAGCTGCCTAATACGATAATACAAAACATAAAACCTATTAACTATTGCAATATTTTAATACTTTGGTTGAAAAAATGTAAACAAAAATAAAAAAACGTTTTCTAAAAATTGAGATTAAACAAAGATCTAGGAATAAAAACAACTAAACGTTCGACTCCTTCAAAATAGCAGGCAGCAAATGATCAAAATAAAACTCTTCCAATTTAGGAAACATCTTTTCCCACAGATCAACATCTTTGAAAATTTTTTCGTACATCAAACCATATGGCGTCCACAATATAAAATAGCAATACGTTCTACCAGTTACAAAAAGCTGCCCCTGTACCTGATAGTAGTATTTATCTTCTCTCTTTAGCCTGAATACACCGTTTTCTTCTATATAAGCACACTTTATCAGTCCCTTTTTGATACCCTCTTCAGGTGTAACGTCTTTCGCTTTGTAAGGACATTTGATTTCAATCAAACCGTCTGGTTCTATCAAACCGTCAGGTGAAGCTGCTAGAAACGGGTAATCTGGATGTATAAACAAACCGCAAGTTGTCACAGTTACTCCTAATAATTTCTGGAAACTATCCAGAGCATTTGGTTCGTTATCATTACCCCATTTGGTGTAAACGTTTCCAGTAAAACTCGAGTGCAAAAGATATTGAACGACGTTTTTCCTGTTTGTCGTATCAAGTAATTTGGAAATGCGGCCGAAATTCGAAGCGGTTAGACGTTTTTTTCTTTCTTCGAACCACAACGGATCGCCGTTTTGATTTTTGGTCAGTTTGGATAGTTGAAGAATTTCTTCTGGGGTTTTTTGCAGTTCTTTCAAGAATTCAGCCTTCTTAGAGCGATATTTATTAACGCCGTTTAGCATTGGTGTTGATGTTCTTATAGGTGATTTAATAAAACTAGAACTCTCGCTATCGGTAATAGATTCATTGTATATATCATATATTTCGTCGACGTACTGATTGAATTCGTCCGCGTTGACGGCAGGTATATGCAAGGAACTGCAAATTTCGTTCAAAGTGAACAAATTCAATCCCAAGCTCAGTATACCAGCCACGAAAGCCAAATTTACACTCAGATAATCAGAATCTTGTTGTTCGCTGCAAACGGCGTGTTGAACTTTGCACTTTCTGCATTCAAAAACGAATACAGAAACGAAACCATCTCTGATTTCGTTTTTAATAAACGTATCACCGTTTTTGCAGAATTTTAAAAATTTGTGTGGGAATTTGTTAACCTCTCCGAGCAAATATTGCACATCGACGATTCTTCTTCCTGGTCGGTACTTGTATACAGAGCTGTCCCTGAAAAATAGATAATGTTAAAAATTATCAACCATGTAACGGATTTTTAATATTACGGGAGTGCATCGAAATTGATATCGGTTCGTTGGCCATTACGGTTGTTAATTTTTAAGATTATCTAATGGGGGACAAGTCCGTTTGTGTATGGGCGTCTAAATATGGCGACCAATGAAACATCTTATAAAAATGCTGTTGTCTATTTTTAAATCCAGGGTGTCTAAGAAACAATCCATTTCACTATGTATAATATTAATTAATAATATTTTGAGATTATTGGCTGTGACATGTCATTTAAAGCAATCTTGTCAAGTTATCTCATAAGAAAAAATCTCGGAACTAAATAAATTTATAATGTCCATTATAATCCAAAATCCTTTTAATATTTTAATGACAAAATCAAATATTGTTTGAAAATAATTTAGCTATAGAAGTTGCCGATGATCTTTTGCGACAATTCTTTTAACATAAAGGGCAATTTACAAGGCCAGAATAATAGAAAATAATTAAAAGAGGTAAAACCTACGCCATACCTATTTAAAATTTCGAGGTCATACAATTCTCATCTGGGGTAATCTGTGAAAACGTGTTAATCAAAATGGTGGCTGAACTATAAACATAAGAACCACGAGAGCTGATATTGAATTTACACTAAGTTAACCATTTCCAAAAATCAAACCAACAAGGTGATTAATTATTGTAGATACATGGAGTACCAGATATTTTTGTTTAATTTTTTTTTTTATATAATTTAGAATGTCATTTTTTGAGAGACTTACCCGCTAATGCTGACATTCGTGTGCCCTATCCACCGCCAAACCTCGAAAGGTTCGCCTTGAACTTCCTGGATTTCGGTGCGCACTCTGGATTCATTTTCGTTTATGAAATTTACAGCCTTCGCCCAAGTATTTGCTTTCTCTGAAAAATCATAAATAAACACAGTTTAATATCATAATTTGCTGCAATAGTCTAAAAAAAATATGACTCCATGGGGAAACTTTATCATTTATAAAGCACTTTGCCGTTCAGGTGTCACTGAATGTCCGAGATATTAAAATTTTTGTGTCTTATATCTAGTGGTGTACTAATAATTAGAGAATTTAAATTAGGTTGTCAAATGTCTACATTTATTTTCCAATTAATCGCATTTTGTATACAATAGACAATTTTCTATTTTTTTTTTAATTTTCACTCCTCCAGGTCCTGGAATTTATTCATGAACTTTTTTAATTTTTAATTATTTAATTCAATAACTTACTTTGTCTGTCTCCAACGGGCAAAATCATGTCTCTAACGTGGTTGATAACCAAATAGTTATCGTTGCTGTCTTCATCTGCGCTCGTCTGCAAAATGTTGATGATTTTTTCGACCAAAAATCCGATTTCATCCTTCTGCTTTTCCTTGTGGTGCTTGTAGTATTTGTAGCCCAAATTAAGTAGGTATAGACTGCCGAAAACCAATACAACGAACAAGACGCTATTGAATATTAGATAGAAACTATTGAAAAACGTGCACTTCCAGGGTAATAGAGGCCTTAGAATGACTAAGCTAGTCAATTTCGTGTCAGTGTTGAAAATTACTTCTTCCTGAAATAAAAAAATGAATACAACTTAAATATATTATACAGAATTCTCCTGTAGTTTCAACCAGTCATCGAATCGAGTGAACTGAGTAGCAATCAGATTTGACAATATTCTATTTTTTTAAGAATATCTTTGACCAGATTCTATAAGATAAGCAACGTCATTTTATACTTACCATATTTTTGGCTATGTCTTTTTCGGTAACGGCTCCGTTATTGTCTTGGGTTTGAGCGACGTTCAGACCCCATTCCGGGTTGTTAAATGTCATAATTAATAAATTATTTAAATCGCTTCTTATCTGATTTGGATCCTGGAACAATACATTGGTATCTCAATGACAAGGTGTTTATGTAAATTAAATATAAAATTTAGAGCCAGTCTTTTCACTTCTGAGTAAAGTTAAAAGTAATTACTTGCTGATTAGGCTATGGTTCAATGGTTCCCTAACTTTCCCAGTAGCAGAGGTAAAAAGATCAGCCCTTAATGTCATATTAGAAATAGTACTCATACTTTTCAAACGTATGTTTTTGTTTGGTTTAACAAATAGTTATTGCCTTGTCAAAGCTAAAAAATACATTTCGTCTATAGGCTTCGATTGCTTTAAGAACAGCTCAGGTATGTCATTAATCTTTTGACTGTACACCCCCAACTACAAAGTTTATATTATAATATATTGCAAACTAAAGTGCATAATGAAAAAGTTGTTTTGCCTCGACTAATATGTTTGGGGAGCATTTTTACAAACTTTACATGAAAATTAGAAGCATTAAATTATAAAAAATATAATAATAATAATAATAATAATAATAATAATAATAATAATAATAATAATAATAATAATAATAATAATAATAATAATAATAATAATAATAATAATAATAATAATAATAATAATAATAATAATAATAATAATAATAATAATAATAATAATAATAATAATAATAATAATAATAATAATAATAATAATAATAATAATAATAATAATAATAATAATAATAATAATAATAATAATAATAATAATAATAATAATAATAATAATAATAATAATAATAATAATAATAATAATAATAATAATAATAATAATAATAATAATAATAATAATAATAATAATAATAATAATAATAATAATAATAATAATAATAATAATAATAATAATAATAATAATAATAATAATAATAATAATAATAATAATAATAATAATAATAATAATAATAATAATAATAATATTAATAATAATAATAATAATAATAATAATAATAATAATAATAATAATAATAATAATAATAATAATAATAATTAATTCTGATGCCTTGGTAGGATTCCCCACTAAACCATTCACTGTTGGGTTATAATTAACAGTGCTGTTCCTAAAGTGGCGCTGGGAAACAGTAACAAAGCCTACACAGAACATGAGGCTAATGGCCGTAGAAGTCGACGCCGATGACACCAAATTAAAAAAAAAAAAAAAAATAATAATAATAATAATAATAATAATAATAATTAATAATAATTAATAATAATAATAATAATTAATAATAATAATAATAATAATAATAATAATAATTAATAATAATAATAATAATAATAATAATAATAATAATAATAATAATAATAATAATAATAATAATAATAATAAAAATAATAATAATAATAATAATAATAATAATAATAATAATAATAATAATTAATTCTGATGCCTTGGTAGGATTCCCCACTAAACCATTCACTGTTGGGTTATAATTAACAGTGCTGTTCCTAAAGTGGCGCTGGGAAACAGTAACAAAGCCTACACAGAACATGAGGCTAATGGCCGTAGAAGTCGACGCCGATGACACCAAATTAAAAAAAAATAATAATAATAATAATAATAATAATAATAATAATAATAATAATAATAATAATAATAATAATAATAATAATAATAATAATAATAATAATAATAATAATAATAATAATAATAATAATAATAATAATAATGGCACGCTATTGATAACGTGCTCAGCCTGTTTTTACAACAAACGAATTCTAATTTGGTTCTCGAAAGTTTGCAAACTAACATCATAGACGTTCTTTTATCATTGTCGTTCACTTGTACATAATTAACGACTGCTTTACTCTTCTTGCAATGTAACTACTAAAACAAGGATTGGGCGTGTTGATTTTTTATTTGATCCGGACACTGGCGTAACAATATTGAAATGGCTGTCTCGGAATTGGAAGTCCAGTTTCATAACATATCAAGAATTAAAGTAATCATCCTAGTTTCAAAATTATACTAAATGAAATTGTACATGTAGTACTAAAATTGTAAACATTTTAAACAAAATACTAATAAAGTGGAAAAGGTGATGACAATATAGTCATCAATATTTAACTTGAAACATATTATATTAATCATTAACAAACCTTTAACCTTTTTGATCAAATCTCACTTTTACTAGTGGAATATTTTCAAACATGCTAAAAGTAGGCAAATTTATTCCAGTCCAAGAAGCTGCACAAAATAGCTAGAAATATATGGAACGATAACAATTAATTCTAGTTTTTCTTAACACGTTAACGACCGGCATATAAGGTTGTAAAGTACCTCTGTAAGACAATACAGTTTTACTGGTGTTGCAGTAAAGCCCATTAGAATCAAACCAAGACTTAATAGTCCCTATATCTTTGTTTATGATAGATTGTAATGTCTGCATGTCAGTTATTCCAGGTTACACTCTTGTCATTGACAAATAAAGTAATTTTACCACTTATTTTTAAGTCTGTGATATTGTTGATGAATAATAAAAATAAAATTGGACTTAATACTAAACCTTGAGATACTGCATTGCTTATTGGTAGATTTGTAGAATCCTTACCATTCGTTCGCACCTGTTGATTTCTATTTTCCAGGTAAGTTTTAAACCATTGTAAAGAAGAATCCCATGAGTCATAAATTTGTATTTTTTATTTAAAATTTCAAGGTTAACACAATCAAAGGTCCTACGAAGTCACAAAATACCAAAGCTGTGAAGAGTTTATCATTAAGTATATATTTATTTAGGAACAGGAAACATTGCATCCTGGTACATTTTTAGGTAGGAAGCCATAATGATGAACTGTTAGGGTGTTATGTTTGAGAATAAAGGGCAGGAGGCGGTTTACCTTCGATAAGGTAGGTAAAAAGGCAATAAGACTATAGTTACAGGTTTTGATTTTGTCGCCACCCTTATAAAGTGGTTTTAAACAATTGGGAAATAGACCAAATTCAAAGGATTCATTAATCAGCGAAGGTAAAATGTTGATTACTACATCAGGTATATTTAAAAATATTTTAGTGGACAAGCCACCAATTCCACAGGAAAATTTATTTTGGATATTGTTTATGGTTTGCACCAGTTCATGTTTATCTACTGGTCTTAAAAAGAAACTATTCCTATCAGTTTAGTAGGTAGGAGAAAGGAGAGAGTATCCTGACTTGGAGCTATGTTAGAGTTGATATTCTTACTTACATTTACAAAATAATTGTTTAGTTTATCTGGACTAGGATTTATATTGTTTGAAGAACGGATTTTATTTCTTAAGTCAGGTTTCTTTTGAGGAGTTTTTAGCTCTTGAGATGCGATGTTTGTAGTATTTTTTCCTAGCAGATTTGATAATTTTCTGATAAAAAAGATTCTGTAGTTGTTGATAGTTTAATAGTAGGGGATTATCTGTGTATTTTTTAACACACTAAATGATCTCATATTTTTAGATGAGTTTCTTATTCATTTAGTTGTCCAAGGTTTATGACGTTTAAGTTTAATGGGGCAAAGAGGAAATGCTGCATTGAAACACTTAATTATTTTATTTAGACAGTCCAAGAATTTAGAGAAAGACTATTCCAATCAGTAGCTAGACATAAATCAAACAAACATTGCAAAATTATGTTAAGAGAAAATTCTACGCAACTGACAGACTTTTTTAAGGAGCTGTATGCCATATCACAAATTTGGCAAAAACTGCTTCAGGTTTAAAATCAGAGACTATGTAATCAATAATTGTAGGTGTTGTTTTGTGATTCTAGTAGGGATCTATGAGAGACATACAATAAATTCTGATGGATATAGCAACATAAGATAGATCTCCAACAATTGGTACTCACATTTACACATAGATTTTGGCACATGTAGGGACTTTTACATTATAATTTGTTACAATTAAACTACATGATTTAATTGAAAGGTAAAAATAGTCTCTACGTTTTTGTTTTATTCATAACATATTTATTGTATTTTCTATTCTATCAACAAACTACATATGGCAACATGATTTGAATGACGTCAGTTTGCAAACTTTCAGGACTGAGGCACAGACATTATATTTCAGAATGAAATTGTATATTTATAACCAATAATAATTGATCATGTTGTCAAATATGATGATTTTAATAGTCTAATTCACAAAACATCTTTAAATTTGCTCACATGAAAATATTAATGATATAAACGTCATCATATTTAATGTGTCCAAAGAAATTGGGCGATATTTCATGAATTGTTGTTTTATTATTTTAATTTTGGTGAATTGACATTCTTTACATGTTTTTCTATAGATTTATCAAATGTTTTCTGGAAAAATATTAACGAATATTTAATTTGTTAATGATTTATTAATTTATTTGAAGTTTACTAAGCACGGCAACGCTTCAAAGTGTGATTGAAAAAAATCGTGGCATCGTCCAACGCTTCTTTTTCTCTGAATTGACATATTTTTACGTAGGTAAATATATAAAGATGCTTTGTGAATAGATATGTGAGAGTTTTTTTTTGTAAACCTAAACGGCACTTACCTTTATAGCGAAATTCGTTATGCAAAAATCAAGAATCTCAGACTCTGTCATTTGCGGTTTAATCGTTGGATCAAAACACTTATGAGCGACGGCTCGTTTGAGCAGTTGCGGCTTTATGACGTTTAACAGATGAAGGGCGGTGGCGACGTGATCTTCGGGAACGCAGTTTATGAATGGTTTCGTTGACCGGTCGTTCTTAATACACTGTGGTACAATGTAATCTGAAAACGTATCGGATTTTATGTTTATCTAGTCATAATTATTGTTGGAGTGAAAGTATAGGAAAGAAACTCTTTATTTGCTCTATACAAACATACAGATAGATTCAAATATTATATTTAATTTAAAATATTCAAAATAATATTGTTAATGTAAAAAAAAAATAAACTAGATAAAAAATGTGTTGACATCAATGTAAAATTGTGAAATATAATAAAGAAACCATGTACTAGCCATACAGGCTTCTATGGTATCTTATATTAATTTCCGTTAATTTTATTATTATTATAAACAAAAGCATAAACAAAAGGCCAGGGCGTCAATATCAAACATAATCGAAGACATAAGTGGAAAAGGGCCAATATATTTTTTTTATCAATGTTTTTGCCTAAATGAAAAACCTATGTACTTACAATTCATTCTGTTTTGTTATGATACTCTTCCAAATAAAGATGTTACCAGGTGATAAAGGACCTATGTTTTGTAGTGAACTATCCAAATAAAAAACTTTAAACTCAAATATCTCAAAAATATGTTTTTGTTACATAGGACCTTCATCCACCTGTGTCTTCAATCCTGACAAGACGATATTCACATGTCAGATCTCTCAAAAATATTGTGTTATATTTTCATTAAAAATTTTAATAAAAAATTACTTTTAAGCCTTTATTTTTAGTCAGTTTTTTTGTGAAATTTTCAGGAAATACCAATAACAAAACTTGTTGTGTTAAAAAAAAAATAGATTAAATTATGGATTATTCACTCTGACTTGGGTCCCAGGACATACCGGGGTACAGGGTAACGAGATTGCAGATAGTCTTGCAAGGAAAGGGGCTCAAACACCCTTTGTAGGACCTGAGCCGTTCTGCGGATCAGCAGTAACAATATTAAAAAAGAATTGGGCAGCAGAAGAACCGATTATTGGAACAATCTATTGGGGCTGAGATAGGCTAAGAAATTTCTGGGTGAATATAACCAGAAAAGATCGGAAGCCTGCATCTGGCTGAGCAAGAACAGGCTACCTATTGTAACAGGAATCCTTACCGGGCTTTGCCAACTAAAAGGACACCTTAGTAAACTGAGAGTAGTAGAGGATAGTGAGTGCAGATTCTGTGAGGAGGAGGAGGACGAAACCTCCATTCACATTCTAACTGAATGTGTAACACTCCAGAATCCAAGGGCACTATATCTAGGAGGATATCAAATAGAAGAGGGAGATTTACCTAACTTGAAGACACTCCAAATCCTACACTTCCTTGAGAAAATAGGATTGGAAGGGTCGTTATAGGCATTGAGACATTTCCTTGATGCATTAGCGACAGAAGGAGGCACAATAGATCTTTTAGGTCACAGGGTATTAACACCCCATTCACAACATGACATTACATGGATTATTCACGAATAAATATATTTTTTAATTTGCTGCTTGCTGTTGCATTGTGAAACGAAAAATTGCTTTTTATCAAATCCAGTAACGCATCCAGAGTTTAAGGCTGGGAGGGGCAGTGGTAATAAAGTTTAAATCTGGGAGGGGGCTGTAATAATACTTAATACCTTATTTTTGATAATACATTTTAGTACCTATAAAAATTCTTGGGGGGTAAGTACCCCCATTACCGCTCCGTATATGCGCCCCTGATCAAATTATTTAAATTCAACATTTATTTGATGCCTCTGTTGTAAAAACATACATAATTACAAAATACAACCAGTAAATTATATAAAATGTAACGTTAATGAGAGTGGTCTAAACTATTTTTAAAATCCCTCACCTTTTCTATTAACCCAGGAGAAAGGGGGGGGGGGGGACGATTTTCAGACAATATTTGAAAACTGATTAAATCCCTAAGAAACAATCTTACACCGTCGACAAACTAAACGTTTTAAGGTTTAAATTTATGACTTTCTCAATTTTAACTAAATAGTAATTATTTTTAAAGAACAAAAATTTGATAGTATATTTGAATCGGTCATTTGAGAAACGACACATGTTACATTATTGGTCATTTTGTTTTTATTACAAAAATACAATATTTAAAGGTAAATTATAATTATTGTATTATACACAAAATAGAGCAAGTTTTAAACGCTAAGTGTACAAAACTATTTTTTAACTGTTTTGAGATTTTCACTTTTTCTTATTTTTTGAAAAATGATCTACAACTGACATGTGCTGTTTCTCAAATGACCGATTCATTTCATATTGTAGATGTTTTTCACTATTTATATATTATTTTCTTTTAACAATAAACTTCCTCATCAACATTTCTAGGAACATGATTTGCTTACCTGGGAATTCTACCTATTAAAGCATTACATAGAAGTGTAGTTTATAATCACCTTGTATATATATTAATGGCCAATTAAGACGTTTGATTATGTATAAATATACATAAGTAGTAAAAACAAAGTTAAAAAATTGTTCATCCAATTATTTTTTTAAACAAATTAAGCGTTAATAGTAAATATTAATATTTTATAAAAATGGTATTATCGAATTTGGATCGTCGAAAAAAATATGAATTTAATTAGTACAAAGGGTTTCAGATAAAATGTTTTCGTTGAAAATATAAAAAATCATTTCAAATTTTTTAATACCCAATAAATATTTTGATCCAGGACGATGATTTAAATAAAAAAGAAACGGCACAAATGGGACAACACGAGGACATTTAACACAAAAGAAAAACAAACTTGAAAAGAGCAAAATATTTATTGTTTATTAAAAAATTATACAATTTAAATAAAAAAATGATTTACACCACAACAGGTTCACAAATAACTTAATTATATAAATGGCCAAAAAACCTCTTTTCCTTAACCACCTAACAATATTTAAATATTAGTAATTAAAACAAAATTAGTACTCAAACTAACAAAATAAAATTAATAGTAAAAAAATAGTTCTTTTATCGCAAAATTACAGATCAACAATTCAATAAATTAAAAGTATTTCTTTTTTTTTTCGAGTACAACAAACGCTTATCTTAACGCTAGGAAGGGATGTTAGTTTTGTTAAAAAATTTGATACTTTTAAGATTTTGGTGTGTAAGGGTTACTCTTACCAGAAGGAATAACAGATGTATCTGATTTCATGCCCATGTACATGATGGCTAGCAACACGAAAAACAGTGCAGCACCAGCCAGCACAGCAAAAGAAACGAAATTGTTCTTCAGAATGTTGTTCCTGTTGAATCTGTAATCATAGGTCGGTTCTCTACCCCTGGTTGACCTAAAACTAACGATATGCATACATTACAACAAAGATAAACCAGAGTTTTAAATAATTGCTGAATTGTAACAGAAATTAAAATCTCAAAAAAGGGTTACATAGGACAAATTAAAGACCGATCGAGTTTAGATTTCAGGAACATTTACATGAAATCGGAATAATTTCAAAGAAAACTGATATTTATTTGAGTATATTCCTCTTTCTAGTAGTAAAAAAATTTTTTTTCTAATATTATCTTAAAAATGGAATCCCATAGATGTTTTGAAATATGCGCCTATTGAAAATATGAGCTAAAACTAATAATAAATAAAAATTACAAAAAGGAAAACCCAGTTTTCAATCAAACATCAAAATTGCAGAAAAGTCAATATCTTTCAATGAATTAAGAAACAAAACATTTACCTCAAACGTTTTATTTCTTAAGAAAATATATACAGAAAACTAGAAGGTCAATAAAATGCAGGTTAAGGTAAAATAAATTAAAAACAATTTCTTACCTGCCCAATTGAGATCTCACATAACCGGAAGATCCATTGACATCCTGCTCTTTGATAATGTCGTTTTTATAATCATAATCATTATTTTGAGATTGCATAGTTGATAAACGCTTAGTAAAGTTACTCAGGAAGGGAGTTTCTTCTTTTTCACGAGTTGGAGAAGAATAGGAAGGCTTTTCGTAACCTATAAAAATAAATAACAAAAAATTTAGTTCAATTCAATGTGTGAATATTAAAATTCGATGGATAAGAGGACAAATGTTGTATGTCCAAGAATATCATTTTAAGTAAAATCTATTTAAAAGTTGCAGGTGCCTATGATGAGCTGCAGAGTTTGTAGTAATATTACTTTACTAAATGGTAAACCATTTCAAGTGGATGTATATTTGGGAATCGATAAAGATTTTACCTTGTAGTACATACAATATTTGTCCACTTAAGAGCCATCCATTAATGTATTGCTTAATTATTCTAATTAATGGGGAATTCTAATTATTTTTTATTTCAAAAATTGACAAGATATTTACATATATCCATCCAATGCCAACAACCACACAAAAAAAAATATTTACATATAAACAGAGGTTTCGTTCATATTTTTTTTAATTCATTCCCAATTTCGATTTTGTATACAAACTGTTAGAGAAAGCTGAAGTAATGTTGCACAATAAATAAAAAATGTTATTATTGAAATAATATCAGAACTATTCTGCCATCCTAAAAATAGATGTTGTATCTACAAAAAATCGAATTTTAATATTTTTGCATCAGTGGGTTTGTGAAAAGTTAAATTAACTTTTAACCAAACAGAAATGCTGTATATGTTTCAAAGATATTAAAAAACCAACATATTAATTAGCCAGCTCTGAATACTTAAGGGCTAAGGAAATAACTTGAAATCCCATTTTCTTCGCTTATCGCTATCAGTAGGTATGGCATTTGTTTTTAGGACAGCAGTATTGTGTAACATTGCATCAATTTGAAGCAAGACAATTCAGTTTTTCTAACCTAATTGTTAAAAGACATTCTAGCAATGACTTTAGCCACTGTTGAAATATTTTTAAATCATTCAATTTCATGAATAACCTGCATCAAAATTTATTTATACACAATATTCAATATTGCTAGACAACAATGGGAAATCTATTAAGTATTAAAATTAATTCTAGAGTTTATATGAACAGATAATTGAATTTATTATTATTTGTATGTGTAGAAGAGTCATTTCATATTGTTATGCTATACAAGAGTATTAATCATTAAATAAATAAGTCAGATTGCAGAAATGTTTGTAAACAAATTAAAAATTAACCAAATACATACTGTTTATCAATTATCTAATCTAGATAGTAGTAATTCCAAAAAAATATTTCCGACAGAATTAAAAACATTTTTGAATTAAATGCAGCAAAGAAATAATGAACTGTAAATTTTAAAATAATATTTCAATTTCATGTCACCTATGAAAATAAAAACATACAAAACAGGCACTTACTTGGACTGTTAAGACTGAGTCTGGATCTGATCTGATTCAATCTGTCACTAGCGTACTCAGAAGCCAAAGAAGGAGAATTATAATTAGAATGCCGGCTTGGTGAAGTATTGGTATTGAAAGATATGTTCCTCGAAGTTGAATAAGAAGTCTCCACTGACTTTGGTGGTGAATATTTACTAGACGACAATGGAGATTTCAGTGGAGATCCTCTTCCATCTAAGGCAACTTTTGATGACTGATAGTTGGTGATATCAGACTCAGAATCTGACCCAGTATCAAATTCGTCTTGGGCATTCCTTATGATTTTCTGACTTCTGCTGGATGTAGTTGTGGTAGTGCGTATTTCTCTTTTCACTGGACTCACGGGTATCTGAATAAAGGGTCAAATATTGTAAGGTTTATAAGAAAAATAGTTTAAATTTTCTTACCTCTGGTTCCACAACTTCATTAAACCGCGTGCTTTTTCTAATTTTTGGACTTGCAGATGGTGGCTGCATCAACGGTGCACCCATAGTTACCCTCCTGTTGTCTTTTTTCTTTGTAGTTACTTTCATGTCTGTATCACTCTCTTCCTCGCTTGAGTAACGTCCCAGAGACCTAAATTAAATATACAAATTGAATTAAATAGCATAAAACAAGTGTATAAAACATATACCTTCGACCTTCACCACCAATCTTATTTTTGTTCTCTAGAAGCATTTTCAGTTTCTTTGCCATCACTTTTCTGGTAGTACCCGTGATGGGCATTACTGGAAAACCGAATTCTAGGAGCTTGGTGCGGAGCTCCGCATCAGTCAGTTTCTCTACATCGACCACCATCTGATGAAGAAAAATGTGTAAATACAATAAATTTCGATAAAAAGGAGTAAATGTTACCTTTAGCAGTCAATCCTCGCTATTTTAAATCCGAGATTAATAAAACGTTATTTGTTTAAAAGTCGTTAAGATAAATTCACATTTGCAGTAAAGTCGTCCTGAAAAAGTGGAATGACCTTGAAATAGATATGTATTTAGAGGAAACTGCTTCACTAAAAGTAGTTTATATTCGAAAAAAATCACTTACGTCTAATAAATTTATAAAATTCAGCCTTTTTACACGATTTTCTATAAAATTAAGAAGGCACAAACAAGCCTCAATGATCCACGAACCACACACCAACCGCCATAAATAGAAATGACACCATTTTCAATCTTACCAAATTTTAGTAAAAAAACCGGTAGAAGTCCGCATTTATTTTTAACTTTGGGTCGATTTTTCGAGATGCTCATCATAATTCTTCTTTTATTTTTTTAAAATTAACCTTTATAATGCTGTTCCCAGGCTACTTAAATTAATTTTCTTCTTTTTAAATAGTCTCATATTAGTCACCAAAAAGTCCATTTTGGGTAATGTTCTTTTACTGTTTTGGTTTTTGTAGGAGTTATATTCTGTCGGTAGTCGGTAAGCAAAAGGCCCTTTCTGACATTATTTGACATTGACAAATATTGCTAATTGACAGATAATTGTAGGGAGGGTAAAAAATCAAAAGAAGTGTTTTAAATTGCAAATAGACTAATTTTGTATTAAAAATGTCGTTTAGAGAAGATTTAAGGCAAATTGTAAAACCCTATTATATTTTTAATATTTTAATAAGTCTTTCCTACGTAGTTCTGAAACGAATTCCAGGAGTATGCAGTTATTTATTTCCTTCAAGTAATTGTGAGTTTGAAGGGGTAAGTAAGGTGTTAATTCTTTAAAATCTATGTTTAAAACAACGTTATTGTAATTTGAAATAACTTTGTATTTAATTGAATAATTTGATTTAAATTATTCCAATTAAGAAACTTCATTATTTGTTGTGTTTATGAATTAATAGGTGTGATTTTTTTCTCAGAGAGAAACAGAAATATTGTTCTTTCTTATCATAGTAATTGCAATAAGGACAAGAAAAGCTGGGAGTGTGACTATGATAAACTATTTGTCTTCAAGTTTTATATATACCAAAGTTGCAAATTTGATATTATGGTTTAGTGCTGATATTCTAATGGGAATTATATATGGAATTGTTTTTATATGTAAGTAAGAAGTAATTGGCAAATATTTTATATTGTAAAACTGATAATTGTATTTACATATTTCAGTGGGAGCTCTCTTATTTCCAGAACCAACTTATTCTGGCCCTGACAAAGTTGTATACTTCAGAGGGGTGCAAGGTTTAGATGATGAATTAATAAGAGACACAAAGGTAACATGGTTGGTGGCTTTCTACACAGTTTGGAACCCTGCTTGCGTTAATTTTGCTCCTATTTTTGCCAAACTTAGCACAGAATTTTATTTGGATAATCTTAAATTTGGAAAAGTAGACATTGGGCGATACCCTGATGCTGGTAAAAAATACCATGTCAGTGATAGCAGTATGAGCAAGCAGCTACCCACGATTATTGTCTTTCAAGAAGGGAAAGAAGTGTCTAGGAGGCCTATGGCGGATACTAAAGGAAAGCTTATTAAATTTTTATTCAATGAGGAAAATATTGTAAGTGCTTTTGGGCTACGTGGCTTACATGAAAATTGCAAAAATCAGGTTAAAACTAAAAGCAGTAAACCTCATCATGATTAAAGTAATTTTATTTGTAAATGATGCTTTAATTTTGCTTTTTATGAAAGATTTTTATTTGGTTTTGCGGATTTTTAAATGTTTGAATAAAAATCAAATGGGGCCCAATGTGGAACTAATAAAAGTACCTTATCAATTGTTACTTTGATTATACCATATCCCCATTTTAATTTCTGTGAAAATAAGGATTCTTGTGTAAGTAACATGTTGTGAATATGATTTTTTATAAGAGTTCGTTTTCATATGTAAGATTAATAATTGTACTGTTTTGTAAATTTGATCTGTAGTGGTTGTATAAAATCAGTTAAGGAATATTGTCTATAATGTAGGTATCATATAGCAGGATTTTAAATAATTTATATACAATATATTACAGATTTGACAGTAAACTGAGCTAATAGAGCATAACTGTTAGTCATACATAAATTATTTTTATAGTTTGTCATTTATTACTGAAAATCCAGACCAAAAAATATATTTATATTATATATAAATGTTCTTGTTTTTTAAATGTATTTATTTTGTGTTGTTTGCATTGTTAAATAAAAAAATATACACCAAAAATTTGTTATTAAAAATAAATTAATTTTATTAGAAAAATACACTATTTACAAGAAAATAAATAATTTAAAACTTATTCTGAATCCGAATTTGGTGCCAAAACTACTCCTAGACGATCTCTAGAAAAAGTCATTTCAAAACACCTTCCAAAAACAAGTTTTGCTTTCTTGGTCTTTGGAGATTCCGGCGATATGGAAACTTCATTTTCTTCAACATTGACAGCCGGTTCTGTATCTTCTTCTCTTACCTCGCTTCTGTCAACATTTGTGTTTTCGTCATTGCTAAATCTACGACTGCGTTTTGATCTGGCTTGTTCCACAATTTCTCTGAAAGACGGTTCTTTTGAACTACTATTGCTACTACTCTTAGTAGTTCGTTTAATTGGAAGTTTATTATTAACTTCAAGGCTGAGATCATCCCAGTCCTCTGCTAAAAGAGCTTGTTGATCTTCAACAGTAATGTTTGGATGGTTATTGTTAAACTGGGTAATTTTAGCAGGTATTTCTGTGCTCATTGAACTTTGATTATCACTGTAAGGGTTTAAAGTAGCAACAATGAAACTAACTTCAAATGTTGGATTTGTCATCAATACTGAAAGAGGTCTAAAAAATATTTTAAAGTTAATCAAATAGTAATTAGTTTAATCTTTCAAAGTTACTTACTTGCCTCCTTTTTCAAAATTGAGAGAAATGCTTAAATTGAACGCTTCAGCAAACTGTATGGCCGTTCTAAATGGTTTTAAAGAAAAATTAATTGTAGTTTCTTGGTCTATCCTAAACATTGTAAATTCAGATCCATTTAGATTCACTTGGCTTCTCACAGACTTTGGTCTTACTGGAGCTCCTTAAATATAAATAACGCCATTGGTGCATACTATTGATTTTATTTTAAAAATATACCTACCTACATAATAATTCCTGACTACAGCCTTATCTTTAGTAATTTCGAACAGTATTTCATCATCAGAATTGCTAAACATGTTTAAAAGTTGGTTGCAAAATGTACTTGTTGTTCCTATGTTGTTGCATCCATTGTCAGGTGAGATTCCTATTGTTAAAGTTTCTGATTCCATTAAACGAAGCGTGTGCCTCATTAAAATTTCATCACATTTGTATTTCATTTTAAATATTATAAAATCGCTATTATTTTCATATTCAATTTTCACATAATCTAACTAAAATTAAAAAGAAACAACATTTATAAATTGTACAAGTTTTTTTAAACTAATTACCTTTTTGTCTAAATGTGTACCTTTAAATAAAGGCAGTAGCGTTTTTAAATGAATTTTGCAGGATACTGATTCTGTTCCACCAAGCTCTGCCTCATTAATTTCATAATTTGAGAAGAAAATTTCCTTAAAATCATATCGGACACAAACAGTTTTTCTCAAATTGAGTGTAACAAGGTGGAGCTGTTCTTTAGAAGCTTCTACATATAAGTCATCACCAATTCTTGCTAAGGCATTTAGGGCTCTCGCGAATACTGTAGATAAAGGTGTTTAATTTTTGTATGAAACTATAATGGAACAATAAATACTTACCTTTTAAATTTTGCCCTGGAATAATACAATTCATTTTTTAAAGTTTCATAGCTTATACTTTTTAGTTTATTTTTAAAAATAGGTTAATTAAATAAATAAATAACCTGCAATGTAAAATCCGAAGTTAGGTGTAGGCCAAACGGATCATCAATATAAAAAAGTTCATGGTTTGAAGTTAGATGTAGGTGAGATATAAAATTAAAGATAAGAAGAATTTGGCTGTATGTGAAAAGAGAAACGCCATAGAATTACAGAAGAAGAAATAAATCTTCTGACGTATGTCATTTTGTCATTATTTTGACATAAAACTGACATTAATTTAATAAAATAAAAAGACGCCTACTAAATTTATCAATTTTACTATTTTTTAATTATTATAAGAAACTATGGTAAGATAGATTAAAATATGTATTTCCTCAATTTATGAATGTATTTTAGCTGGTTTTAGTATTAGGGGATCTTCACATTCCGCATAGATGTAGCAGTTTACCAGCCAAATTTAAAAAGTTATTAGTGCCTGGTCGAATACAACACATCTTATGTACAGGAAATTTATGCACGAAAGAATCGTACGACTATTTAAAAACGTTGGCTAGTGATGTACATGTAGTGAGGGGTGATTTTGATGATGTAAGTTCATAAAAAAAATAAATATGTAGTCTATTAATTTTGATTTTGTAGAATCTTAACTACCCGGAACAAAAAGTGGTAACGGTAGGTCAATTTAGGATAGGATTATGCCATGGCCATCAGGTTGTACCATGGGGCGATCCAGAATCTATAGCATTAATACAGAGACAATTGGATGTGGATATTTTGATTTCTGGACATACACACAAATTTGAAGCTTATGAACATGAAAATAAATTCTATATTAATCCTGGATCTGCAACGGGGGCCTATAATGCTTTGGATACGTAAGAATATTTAATTTTTTTTAATGAAAGATAAATATCAAGTTTAATGTTATTTTTAGGTCTATAACGCCCTCTTTTGTATTGATGGATATTCAAAACACAACAGTTGTAACATATGTATATCAGCTTGTAGGTGAAGATGTAAAAGTTGAAAGAATTGAATATAAGAAAAATTAAATGGCTTTCTGTTATTAAGTTGAAAATATATTGTGGACTTGTTTAAATATAGTATGAGTAATCCATTTACATTTGTGAAAATCTATTGTATAAGAAATAAGAGTATAAAATTACTAATACTATATTTATTTGATCAAGCATTTATTAAAAAATCGTATTTAAGTATGATTTTGTTTCTAAATAAGTGAAAAAGTATCTTATTGGTGCAAAGTTAACTTTGAAATTGTTAGTTTGTCTATAAAATAATTTCTATGATCTGAAATTTGAATAAATTTTTATGATAAATATTTATATACATTTATTCCATTATATTATTTCATGTTATCTACCTATACTATATTTTGAATTATGATTTTTTTTTGTTCAATTTGTATTTTTTTAAACAATTGTAAATAAAGGTGAAGATTATAAAATAAATTCCGTTTCATTTTAATTTATTTAAATCCAAATATTTTGTAGCAGTTGTATCTCAAGAAATTGAAAATTTTCTTCAATATAGAAGGTAGGAAAAAAATTTCATGTTTGCTCAACGGTTAGTCACACTTATGAGTAAAGTATAGAAAATGAACCACAATAGAAAAATTTGAGGAAAAAACACTATAACCGGAAAAAGCCTACAACTTTAGGTAAGACAGTAAAGTCATGTGTTGGACACATCAGATTTGTAAAATAGCACCAGACTGAAATGTGCCGCTTTAATTGACGCCATTTTGAAATGGCGGTCCAGTGAACTAGGTCCAGATTTAAAAGATGCTTAATTAATGTACCCAACCTGTGCGGCCTGAAGCTGTCGCAGATCGCATAGGTTAGGCTAATTAGTTTTTTTAATGTTACACAAAAAAATTGCAGAGCACTCTGCGTTTGCTCCAGGCCGCACAGGTTAGGTAAATTAGTAAAAAAACTGTTGTTTTAATCAGGCCCTAGTCGCAGTGCCATTTTAAGAAGCTTGGCGAGGTGCTGTTTTGACTACAGGTAATTTAATAAACGCTATTTCAATACATATTCTGATTAGGCTCTCAAACAATAGCACTATTTTGATACACACTATTTCATTTCAGAAACTATAATATACTTATGAAGGCTAATGGTGCTTTCCATTGGAATGTTTAGTGCCTTCTGAGTGTATTCTCACTTTCTTCATTTCCATTTTGTTAAACATATACTCATTACGTACTGCCAATGGAAAACGTCATTAGTATTTTAGTTAGTGCTGTTTATTGAACAAGCTTTTTTTTAAATTGAACCATATTGTGTTGATCAAACATGTTTGTAAATTATAGACATCTAAAGGTGATTTTTCATAAAGATATTCAGCAGTTTTAAACTTTAAATTTTGTAATAAAAATAGAGAATGCAAGGTTCTTCTATTATACATGCTTAACCAGCCAATATCCTTTTAATTTCGAATATCATGCAAAGAGAGGAATTTTGAGTCACATTCTTGTCTACTATACCTATCGTTTTAATTTCCTTCTGGTGTCGAGTTGGGTGAAAGATAATGACAAAACAAACAAAAATAGATAAAAAAAACTTTATTTAGATCAATAATTAACAAATAAAATTCAATGTAAACTTAAAACAATAAGCATTTTTTAAATTGTAAAACGTTTTAAGTATGATAAATAAATTAAATTCGAAAACAAATTTGCTGCATTTACTATTATTTGTAACTTTTGAATATATCCGACAGCATCGTTTGGTCTTGTCGCTTCACGCTCTTCATATCCAACACCTTATGGAACTCCGCCAACTGGCTGTCGGGCAACAATTTCTTATACTGCTCCACGAAATTCTTAGCCGGCTCAATGGGTGTCATTACGACTTTAATGATCATCTCTGCCCTCGTCATGCCCTTCGTAACAACTTTGGAGTACGCAGCGGGCGCTTGGCGGTTAATCTGAGACGCGATCGAGGGCAAATTCAGCAAAACCGTTTTTAACATGTGCGTGTCTAAGAGAAGTTGTTCGGCACCTTCGGTATTGATGGGTTTGCACTTGTAGATGCTTTGGATAAATTTCGGTATGAAACTGTTGGCGAATTTGATGCAGAATTGAGTAAAGTATTTCCTGGATTGTGATAAGTTGTCGCGGATGATGGGAACGTTAGTTTTTAGGTGGGTGGTTATTGCAGTGATGTAGGAGCTTTGGTCGCCTACGGTGTCGACGTTTTGCCACTGAACCTGCAAACAATAAATAAAATTATTTCAAAGCTCTTATAATTTGCAAAAATAAAGAAATGACACAGAAACAGTTTAAGTCCATTATTATTCCTATTATACACATTAGACTTGCTTAAAGTATTAAGTGGTAAGTGAAATACAGCTATATGCGGGCGACACTCGAGTCGTACATTATTTTGAATAAATACCACGAAGTTTCTGTTTCATTAAACAATGATTTATATAAAATTTTAAAGTTTTCTAACAGTCATAAAAGGTCTATCAACTCTCCTAAAACGATGGTACTTTTGATTTGCAATAAGAAAGTTCGAACAATTATTAAGAAGACAACACACAGCTTAATATTTCTGATGCTTGAAATCTAGGACTTGTAATTGACTCTGATCTAAGGCATTAGAAAGGTATAAGATACAACACTAAAAGTTTTTTACCTACATCTGTACTGAGATCTATATTTTGTCATTGGGAACCCCAAATATGTTAGCCACTAGCCGCCAGTGTTCAAAAAACATGTAAACATTCTATTACAAAAATGTTACCTAGATATGAGAATCGTGTATGCAAATAAACATTTTCAAAATAATAAAAATACTTTCCAATTTTTATTGTAATATCGTATATTACCCTTGTTTGGATGGAGTTACCCAAGACTAGGTAAAGCGTATTCTTAATAATTGTTGCAGATTTATCTTTAACTTAAGAAAATACGACCACTTTGTACCACGTCTTCTTGTTTCATTTGCGTGGAAATCGTGGGTGGCGCCAGACTGATATTCAGAATAAGGGTTGCCCGGACGCCAGTTTTGATAACGCAGTTTGCTCTGCGACTCTCGAGTACACTTAAATTGCACCCAAAGTAGCCCCAGTGAAGTAAGTAAATTTCTGGCGATCACTTACAAATGGAGTAGTAAAAACCTTAACACCGGTAATAACCACCTTATTCACTTCGTACCTTTTAGCCTAAAGATAATTTTGAAAGAGCTAGATAAAAAGGGGGTATAGTTAAGAAAACCACAGGACGTTTATACAAAATAATGTATTTAAAACGGTAATTATGGTGAAGTAATACGAAATCCAAATATTTGAATAACGATAATTTCCTTAACACGTGTTAAACCAAATTATTGTTTCAAATGCACCTTCAAACGATGTGAACTAGAAAGATGGCGTTCTTTTATTTTAAAAACTTTTAAACTGTTTGTATTCGTCTCTATAATTTTATAAATTGACTGCACCTGAAGATGGAAAAATTTGTACTTTCCGAAACATATGTAGTGTGCTAAACAATAAAAATAAAAACATTTGACCGATAAAACCAAGGAAAATTTTTATTTATATGAAATCCAAATAATTATTCGTCTTTATTTACAAGCAAAATAAGAAAATAAATATAAATCAATAAATACGGATATTCTTAATAAGCCGTGAAAAGTTAATTAGCAGTATATTTAACCCAATGAACATATTTGCAAAAGATAAATAAGAAAATAAAAATCAATAAATACGGACATTTCTAGTAAGCGATGAAAAGCTCTAAATTAATTACCAGTAATATCAACGCATCGGAAGTAATTACAAAATCAACAGGTTCAATACAACTAATCTCATCCTAACATCCTAAATATTTCACTCGGTAGTCCTAAAGAAAAACAATATTTATTTTACTAACGATAGATAAAAACGGAGCAAGCTGGACTAAGATAGCCCCGGGTTTAGAGCCTGATTTTTTAGAAAAATTTAGGTTGGTTAAAAATCACCTATTTTTTAATTACCTCGATTAAAAGATTATTTTCAAAGGGATGCGGTTTAGTACAATTGATACAGTGACTGATAAGGGGACAACATTATCTCATGATCGACAGTAGGTAGTGAATTAAAGATTTCACTTATTGCCGAAGTAGGGAAGGATATAGTGTCTCGGGGAACCTTGGATGTTGAGAAATTAAGTCTATGAAATAAGACTGCACTAATGATGGAATTGCTTTGCCTACGTAACTTCAAAACTTACAAAACGGAATTCTGTACAAAATGGGAAATTAATTATTATTTCATTCATTCTAGAAGCGCTTATATTCCCCTTTCTCTCTTTAAACTACCTAGTTTATCTTTGTCATTTCAGAACAAATTTTGTTAGATAAAGACCTTTTATTATTATTAAACATACCTTGCTCATTGCCGTCAGTGCAGGTTCGCAGGCATTCTCCAAATCTTGCACCAATATCTGAATACAATTTGAAATAACCCTGAAAAGAAAACCATAAATAATTAAATTTTATACTTTTAAAATATTCCCGAATTTATTAACAAAATAGTAACATAAAACCAACTTATGGAAGTTGTCTTGCTCCTTGGACAAATCTATTTGATCTGCCAGTGATGATTCTATTTTTTCTTTTAACTTATCACCAAGTTGCTGTGTTGTTTCTAGACAATATTCGGCAGTAGTTAATATACAACATATTTTAGTCTGCTCTTCCTTAGTAAACCTAAAACACAAGTATAACCGATTTAAATTCATTGTAAACAAATTATACCAAGTCATTTTTACCTTGTAAGTTCACCTTCCTTGAGCAAAGACGAAAAATTCTGTATCAAACCGGAGGTCGAAATTTTCTGCAAATCTTTGGTGAAATTTTGAACAGAAGTGCCCAACGTTTGGGGCTCTATCTTCGGAAGGTTGCTCTGCAACAATTTTTCAGCATATTCATGCAGATATTTCTGGAATGTCTTTGTTAAATTCAACATGGTTTGACCTCTGTCCAACTGGTTGCACTGAATCATGCTCTTTTTGTAAAAGACGAATAAGTCGGGGCAACTGGGTAGGATGGAAGCTTGAGTTTCGGTTGCTTCTGTTGGTTTGCTTTGCTTTTGGTCCAAAACGAAGCGTTCGATTAGGTCAGAGAGATTTCTGTCTACACTTTCTACGTATATTTCCAAATGAGCAATGAAACAATTACCTTAAAATAATTTTAGGTATCAGAGGATGTTTTAGAAAGTCACAAATATTATTTCTTTTAATAAAAATAATACACCTAACCCTAAAAGCTGCTGGATTATATAATCCTACTAATATATAAATGCGAAAGTTTGGATGTATGTTTATTGCTCAATCACGCAGAACGACTAAATGGATCTGGATGAAATTTGGCACAAAGATAGATTATTGTCTGGAATAGCACATATGCTACTTTTTATCCCGGAAAAGTATACAGTTCCCATGGGATAGATTTGTTTTTGACAGACATGATTTATTGCATAGTGATAGTGAAAGATGAAAATTTAAAATACAGCTACTGAGCATAAATAAATAATGACATATAGGCTACTTTTTATCCCAGGTCCCGTGGGATAGATATGTTTTTGACAGACATGATTTTTTGCATAGTGATAGTTAAACATGAAAATTTAAAATACAGCTACTGAGCATAAATAAATAAATAATGACATATAGGCTACTTTTTATCCCAGTTCCCGTGGGATAGATTTGTTTTTGACAGACATGATTTTTTGCATAGTGATAGTGAAACATGAAAATTTAAAATACAGCTACTGAGCATAAATAAATAATGACATGTTTCAGGGTTTTTGGATTTTCACATTTTAAGGGGGGGAAACGGGGGCTAAAAGTTTGTATAGAAGTATCGTATTTTTTAAAAGTTAGGAACTTGAAAATTGGAATTGTAGCTACTCATTATTAGTAAATGATGTATATTTCAAGGTTTTTGGATTTTCACATTTTACGGAAGGGGAAAATGGGGAGTATCGTAAAACTAAATAATAAATAAAAATAGATACAAATAAAAATAAATAACATAAACATAATTAAAAATAAATAAAGAAGTAAATAGAAATAAATATTTATTAAAAATGAATAAAAAAAATTGCCAGGTATTGCATGAAAACAATTCTCTCGAGTATCGAACTGTTATTCACTTTTAATAATTGAGAAAATCCAGAGAAACGGTATCGGGTCAGCTAGTAATATATTTTATTGTAAATAGAACTAAATACATATAAATATTACATTTAAAAGCCTAGGCTAGAGCTAAAGTTACTGAGAAATATTATGAGATAAAATAAAAATATGTGTGACACTCGGGGACTGCCGCGGTAAAGCTATATTGCATAGCATTTTTTTATCAACTTATGCAATTATAATTATTTATTTATTTTATTTATGCAGTATTTTTTTCTTTGATATTAATTCAAGTTACATTTTTTGAGCGTGGTGACCGATAAGAAAACAAATTTTTTTTTTATTGAATAAATGAGAAGTTAATATTGTTTAAAATATTTTTATTATCTTACAATACATGTAGGTTATTCAGGAATTTTTATCATTGAAACTATAGGTAACTGAAATAAGAAACATAAGTTTGATACTTGATATCCTCTAAATATCTGAAAAATACCGCGTCAATGGTAGTCCCATATTTTGTTGTAGATTCTTGTGGATCATTATTCATTTTCAAATTCAATTTTTCCGAAATTGTGTCTAAAAGAGATAGAATCAGTTATGAGCAGTTAGTCTACACGCATACGTCTAGTCGCACGCACACAAACACCGTGTCGAAGTCTGCCGAACTGAAACGACGTTAGACGATGCACGGCTTTCAACGCCGCACCGCTGCACAGTGGCGCGGATTGATCCGTTTTAGACGTGCGTCACCTTAAAATGTTCGTCTTGAGTTTGCCTATCGACCCTTGTTCCGGGATTTTTGATTTCGAATTTTATTTTTCTGTAATTTGTGTCCAAAAATTTACTTTCATGGAAAAATGGTGATTTTGGGTGCAAAAGTCATCCTAGCGAACGCAACATTGAGTTTTTACAAAACTTTTTTGAAGGAAACTCTTCCTCTTGACAACCCCTACAACCCTGTGTACGTCAAATTGCGAGAAAAATTGAACGAAAAGTGTTCAGTATCACCTAAGGAATATGTCCGAATTTTTACAGAATTTTTGGAAATTTTCCGAGATTCTGGAATTTGGCGATTTCCTGGCCAAATTAAATGGCCAAAAATATCCTCAAACATTCTGAGAAAATTTGTACGTATTGCTGGATTGATTACAAACACTTTTTATTGAAACAAATTTAGATTTTTGTTCCAATAGATTTTTGAGGAACAAGTTCCTTTCGCATCAATAGTTTTGGATCACTATGGTCGTTTTTAGGCATGACGGCCAATTTCTCTCGCAATTTGACGTACACAGGGTTGTCAAGAGGAAGAGTTTCCTTCAAAAAAGTTTTGTAAAAACTCAATGTTGCGTTCGCTAGGATGACTTTTGCACCCAAAATCGCCATTTTTCCATGAAAGTAAATTTTTGGACACAAATTACAGAAAAATAAAATTCGAAATCAAAAATCCCGGAACAAGGGTCGATAGGCAAACTCAAGACGAACATTTTAAGGTGACGTACGTCTAAAACGGATCAATCCTGTGAGTCGTAGAGTAATTTGGGTGCCGGTCGGAGTGGGGGGTGTTAGGTTTATTTTCGTTACGGAATTTCTTTTTCGATTTTTAGATTTTTCGGTTTACTTATCGATTTTTCGGTTTTTCGATTTTCTTTTATTGAATAAATAAGAAGTTAATATTGTTTAACGCCGCACCGCTGTGCCGGTCGGAGTGGGGGGTGTTAGGTTTATTTTCGTTACGGAATTTCTTTTTCGATTTTTAGATTTTTCGGTTTACTTATCGATTTTTCGATTTTCTTTTATTGAATAAATGAGAAGTTAATATTGTTTAACGCCGCACCGCTGTGCCGGTCGGAGTGGGGTCTGTTAGGTTTATTTTCGTTACGGAATTTCTTTTTCGAATTTTAGATTTTTCGGTTTACTTATCGATTTTTCGATTTTCTTTTATTGAATAAATGAGAAGTTAATATTGTTTAACGCCGCACCGCTGTGCCGGTCGGAGTGGGGGTGGTTTTTTCGTTACGGTCGTTACGGAATTTCTTGATTCGGTCGCCGCGCTCAAAGCCCGCGATAAAAGCTATGCAATAGCTTAAAAATACTGATTTACATAATTTTAACACTTAGAATAAGGTGATCAACTTTACAAAATTCAAAAAAGGGGCAGAAGTTGCAATAAAAAAAAGCATTATCTACCATATTTTTTATTCTCGAAAATGTTTGAAATATTCAATGTAGGTAGTATATTTTTAAGGATTCGGATATATATTTTATTTTTGGATCATCAAAAAAAAAAAAATAGAGGAAGGTGCAATTCAACTCAAAAATAGAAACTGGGTGTCCTATTTTTTAAAGCTATAGTTTGTTTGTGTTTGTGATGATCTAGCCTTTAGTGCATTTTAATTTGCCAATAAACAGCCCTGTCTCAGGTAAAATGGGACGGTTGGTCTTTTAAAAGAAACTATGCTTAGACATTTCACAATATCAAGCTAGTCAGGCAGTTTATTGTAATAATGACACCTTGGTTTAAAACACATAAAATACAATTATTTTAATAATAGAAAAATATCAGTTATAAATAAACTAAAACAAGTACGAAAAAACATCCCTTATCAACTAGAATCTGCAATCTATAAATTGTCATTTGATATAATTATTTTATTAAAATTTACAAAGAATATACAATTACAAATATTTTTATATTATTTGAAAAATATCCCTTTTTACATACCTATCAGCCCATGAAATGGTGAAGAGTTAACATCACCATCTTTCTCTTCAGATTTAACCTCATTTATCTCTTTGGTTTTGCTAATTTCTGAATTTTCTTTAACATTTTCATTCAATTCTACTAAAGTTACTCCAGTAAATCTTCTGGCTAACAAATTTTCAAAGCCAGTAGTTTTCTGTATAGCATAAAGCAATAATTTTACATCTATTTCATTTTTCCTTTTAGCCATGATTTTGGCCAGTTCTTCTTTGGTGTTGTGGCAAAATTGAACAGCTATTCTTTCAGACACTTCCCAGTTTTGGGGAAACATGTTACCTGAATAGAAAAATGAAATGGGATAACTGTATAAACTTCAGAGTAAAATCAATTAGTACCAGATTACTAAGCAGCTATAATATTTATATACACTGAAAATATGTAACTAAAAATATATAAAACTAACCTAAACGGTCCTCAAATTCAAGTAAATGCTTTTTAATCCAAGCATATCTTTTATCTATTTTATCTAACCAAGCTGTATCTTCTGTTTCTTCAAATAAATGATTATATTCTTGCAACTGTAAATTCACAAACCATTTCAACAGATCCCGCTTGACTCTTGGATCCAAAATTGATAGAACTAAACAAGCTTGGGCCAGCTGTTTATTTGGAATAACAGTTTTTGTATTTGTACCTACAATTTATAAATATGTATTTAAGGAAAATATTGGGTACATAACTACCTGAAAATGCCTCCTTAAAATCATGTGTAATTTGTTCAGCAAGCTCAAGATGAATGGATTTCACCTGATCACTCAGGCTCTTTACTTGTGGAATGTCTGAATAATTTTCAAAATGTGTCATAACCTCACTAATAGCTTGTAATGGTAAAACTATCTCTCCATACAATCTTCTCTGAGTCAGTGACTTCAATGTATCTACACCTCCTACTAACATATGCAAATGGTTTAGTGTCGTAATTGCTAGAGTTAAATTTCTCTTGGCACAGTCTAACTGCTTAATATCTCTCGTTATCTCACGAACCATTTCTTCAGATCTTTCAGCTTGCTCTTTGATATCAGTTACATGGGTGAATAGTTGTTTGATTACCTTCTGAGCCTCTTCTAAAGCTTGTCTACCATCCTTACTGGCAGTAATCTGTCCACGAACAACCGTACTTATTTCGTTATCAATTGAATTTATTTTATTTTCCATCTTCAAAACTACCTCGTCTATATTCGATAATGACTGTTCGGTTGGAAACAAAGAATTTATGTAGTCTATGCTGTTAAAATCTGGCTCGTCTAGAGGGTCTTTACTTGGTAAAACCTTAAAAAAAATCAAATGTAAACAGACAACAAAATTAAATAATTGTTTTAATACCTCTTCAATAGCTTTTTGGACTAGCGGCGGAAAACTAATAAATAATTCTTGACTATCATCGTCAATGAGATCTTCGTCGATATCCATTTTATGATCATAAAATTAAATTACAGGCTTAAAATCTAAATCTAAAGAATTAATCACTGGTGTGTTTTTATTGAACACCTCATAACATGTCAAAATTAAACGTCAAAATAAAACTGAACATTTTGTTTTCAGATAATCAGTCAGTAGTTCAATTACACCATCATTATTATACCTAGAAGCAAAAGTTCATCGAAAGTAGAAGAATCTAAAGCCATGTTCACATTTTACTCGAGAGATCAAAGACCTTCCTTCATAACTAGACTAGAAATTCTTACCTATGATTGAATCCTTCTTGTGCAGTGGCGTGGGTTTTAGGTTAGGTTATTGGTTAAATGCTAAATTAGGTTATGTTTAAGTTCACCACCATTACAATCAGTTTACAAAGCTGTTTTATTTAAAATGGGAAAAAATCATCGTCACAAAAAGAATCTAAAGGCCGATAAAGGTAAAGTTAAACTGAAACAAAGTAAAACCAAGTTTTTGCCGAAAGGTTTGAACGAAACTAAGGCCACTTTTAAGATAAAACCTATAGTACTTGCTGAACAACTGAGGGAAAGAAGCAGTGATTTACTTTTGAGTAGGAGAAAACTTAATATTAAGGTAACGCGTTTTTTACAGCTGACATTTTATTTGGATTTTCAGTTCATACACAAAATATCATATTTATATATACAAACTTATAATTCATAGGATTTATGTAGTAGAATAAAACATTTTAACTACAACGTAAGATGTGCTGCCTGCGAAGAACTAACAGATATGTACAAACAATTTTATGAAGATATTATTCGAGAACATTTATGTGAAGTAATTGAAAATGTTAGTAACTTAATGCAAGATATGGAAAGAAAAGTAAGAACAGCAGCAGTTAAAGCAATCAACGTTATATTAGAATTAGTAAGTGCTTTTAAAATAATTATTCACACAAAATTGCTATTTTCTCTTTCTTTTATAGACACCTAGTGAAAAACTGGAACCTTTTTTTGAATACTTCTCTGTAAATATGCGTTGTGCAATGACTAATATTGATCAAAGTATTCAGGAGGATTCATTAAAATTCCTAGATTGTTTTTTGGTCAAAGATTGTGGACTCATATCAAAAACTTCAAATAAATTTTTGCCAGATTTCTTCACACTAATTTCAAGGTTGAGAACCGATAATACTTTAGGGAGAACTTTAACTCTCAATTTAGGAAGCAAAATGACAAGTGTTACCTGGAGAATTAAAGTATTGAGTAGGTTAAATGCAGTGTTGGATTTGATACTAAAAAAAAATGAACAAAAAGATGAAGGGTAAATAAAATGAAACACCAAAAATTTATATTGAATCTATTTTATATTTTAGGATAATTGATTGCAGTGCTGATAGCTCTAATACATTTCCAATTTATAAAGACAGTTTTTTCAAGGTCCTAGATAATCCCAATTTGGATGGTATTGAAAATAATGTTGCCTCGGAAAATGTTTTTGATACTCATCTCTCAACTTTATTACCAGTTTTTTATGACATATGGATGGAAGTTGTTCCTGATAAGAAAGTTAATAGGTTACAGTATGGTAAGGTGACACATTTAACAAACACTTAAATAAAACAAGAAAATCACTAATAATAACTAAACAGCTTTGCTTATTTTACAAGCTGTGGCTTAATTTTAATTAAAAAGTACACAATTAAAATAAATGTGTTAGAGTATAGGGGTATAGTCTAAATGGAATTTCCTCTGAATTGGCAGATTATTTTATGAATATTTGTTTACCTACTCAAATAAAACCATATAATATACAGATATAAACAATTTTGGCTACAATAAATCAGATGCGGAAAAATACATTTTTATTATAATTTAGATACAATCATTTAGATACAGTATTTTTACTTTAATTTTGGTGTTTTGAAATAAAAAAAAACTCTTAATATTACTAAGAAAAACAAACTGGTCGATTTACCCAAAAATAATATTTGCCTAAATAAAATAAGTTTTGTGAAAATTGACCACAATTTGGTTTTTCCTAGTAATAATTCTCTAACGTGAGGTAATCGGGACTTGAGTCAAACATTTTTGTTTTCCAGCAAATGTACACTTGAAACTTTAGTACTGGGCACTATAAAAAAATGTCTGACTTACCGCCTTTATACCAATTCAGTATTTCAACAAAATTTTGATTTAAGCCCTTTGTACCTGACATCAAAGAATTATGGATTTTCACCTAGTAAAGGTTTAAAAAACCAAGAAAATTATTAATATTTAGCATGTTGTGACAGGCTCCTGGTTCACCTACAGTGAATCAGCGAGTCTGTGTGGCGCTATGAAGGTGATTCCCAAATAGGAGTTGCTCAGGCGCCAGTTTTGATATCGCAGTTTGCTCTGCGACCCTGTGGTACACCAGAGTGTACTCAAGGTGAACTCAGTGGAGGTAAAAAATAATTCCAGGCGGTCACTGCTAGGTAATCACTATACTAGAATTAATCAAAAAAATAAAACACTTATCTCCTTTACACCTCGTACCCTACGGTACCCTGAAAGAGAACGGTTAAGAACCAGTAATAAGAGAAACACAGGAATAGGTACTAAAATATATATTTACAAAAATTAATAATACAACGGCAATTAAATATGAACGGCTCCCTATATGCGAAAACTTATTAAAAATAAATTGTTACCAATGAAAACTAATTAAATATTAACGGCTCCCTATATGCGGAAAATGGATAAAAAATAAATTATTATTATCAATGAAAACTAATTAAATATTAACGGCTCCCTATATGCGGAAAATTGATTAAAAATAAATTATTATCAATGAAAACTAATTAAATATTAACGGTTGAAAGTTTCTCTCATGCAGACATCTGGTAGTCCATAGCTTCCACAAGAGAGAAACCCTTTCCCACGAGCTGTTAAAAAACAAAAAAAAAAAAAAAAAACTAGGGGCTGAAACAGCTCTGACCATCGACAGGGGGAAGCAAGCGAATACCGCTATCACCCCCTGATTAACGCGAAAATGGATTATTAAAAATAAATTAATACACTCGAAAACAATTGAAATATGACTGTAATTAAATGCAAGCAAATAAATGAAATCAAAGTTTTCGGAACGTCCCTGTATCTTAGACGAGGCGATCGGCGGCGCTCTGGTAATTATTGAATGAGAATAGGTTTCAGCGCGGTGTTTGGGAGAAAAATACAATGTTTAACGTAAAAATTATTTTGAGATTTGATGGTGTGTGAATTGATTTTACAGAAATCGTCGGCTTCGTTCAATAATTAGTTGTGGACGGAGAACGGAATGATTCAAATACAATTGAATGAGTAAATAAAAGAAAAGAGAAATTTACATGAAAAATACTGGGTGCTTCTTATAAAAAAATTGCCAACGGTTTCCACTAAGGAGTGAAATAAAAAATGCTGGGCATGAATCAAAATTCTTGATTTGTAACACGGGTGTCCCAATTAATTATATGAAAGCCAATATAAAAAAAATATACGGTTCCTACCTTAACAAATCCAACGGGTTAACCAACTACTTATTTACGGTCACGGCACTATACGGCGTCGTCACTATAATTTTTAGAAAGATCAGTACTTCTCGGGTGTCGGGAGTCAAGAGGCGGCATTTTTAGCTTTCCATCAATTTATGCTTTTTCGGTAAAGAAAGATGGAAGACTAGTACGACAAAGTGGGGATATCACTACTACAGCCGACTGTTTACAATTCAGAAATACAAAAAATGTCCTTCTTGTACCTTGACAATTAAAAGTAGATAATTCATACGAAATCGACTCTAAAAATGCCCATTCGGATTTCGGCAAATAAAAGGATATTTTAACCTACGAGGGTACTCGCAATTGTTGAAAATCGGTCATTTTTGGGAAACAAAAATACGGGGGAACTTCTACATGTTCTCAGGCGGGAATTAATTGAAATATACATTTTTAAGATGAATTAAAAATAAAATTTAGTGACTTCGTCACATCACCCTCTCTCGGTCAAAGAAAATAAAGGCGAAACTTCGTTTTGGCTTTATTTTCTAACACTCGTAGGTTCAAATTAATCGGCATGTGAAAGTAAGGGGCGGGCGGGCCGGACGGGGCGGCGTGAGGGTTTGCAATCACAACTTCGAGAAAGCACTCCTCGTAGTCCACATCTAGAACAGAAAAGTATACCTCGGTTATTGCAGGCTTGACGACGGTGTCCCTCAATACCACAATTCCAGCAGGTTCCTGGGTGTACTTCTACAAAGGTAGAATTGTGTTTTCGGATACGGTTGGGAGCGGAATGAGACCTTCTGGAGAGGTCAAACGGAGAGAATGCGGGTGACTGAAAATATAGATTTTCAGGGGGCGGGCGGGTGCGTTCTACAAACGAAAATACTCGATTAGTTCGAGTCTGCTTGACTGGCTTGGGGTGGTTTGAACGGATAACAGGTTGGGACTGATTAGTCTGCCCCTGTACGGCGCATGAAGCTGTTACTTCGAAGTCCAGACATCGTTCCAGATGCCTAGCCTGATTAACGGTTGATGTTCTCTCGGACACGGGGTTTACGGCTCGAGGCAGAGAGTTTTTGGTCACAGTTGTTGGTATTTTTCCTCCTTTATCACAGCTTTCGCCGAGTTCAGGAGACAATGTTTCAATCCGGTCCAGCACAGCTGTTGAACAACTCGACGTACGGCCCTTCAGAACCGATGGTGTCTTTGGAGTTACTATACTGGTCGGACGGCTGGTATTGGTCACAACTTGAAACCAAGATCTATCATCCTGTGGTTTGGAGGGTGGGGGGCGGTTTCTACCCGATCTCCAAGATGTCTCGCTTTGTTGTGTAGAGAGCGGAGGGCGGTTTCTCTCCGATCTCCAGGACCTATCGTTTTGTGGTTTGGGGGGCGGTTTCTCCTCGATATGGTTTGAATCGACGGCATGTACCAAAGCACTTACTGCAATTTTCTTCGGAGTTTTAGATAACGGGTGAGCTAACGGAGGCTCTAACGGTTGCTCTATGATCCCAATCGGGTAGCAAGGTATCGGACGGGGTGTTGGAGGCATCAACATGTCACCTACAAAAATTTTTCCACTACCTAACTCTAATAGGACATCAAGTTTGATTAGGATATCCATCCCAAGCACTAAGTCAGTACTTAAATTGGGAAAGTGCCTGATATCCTCAACAGTAGTTCGGCTGCCAAATTTCATTGGTACAGAGTAGGAATCCTGGACTCGGATGGTACTACCATTAGCTAACCTTGCAGAAGCGGGGTCTGCCTTTTTGGGTTGCTTCTTACTAGTAAGATACTCAGCTAGGCGATCTCCTAGGTAGGACCTGGATGCTCCAGTGTCCACAAGGGCTGAGAATGTATCTTCCAGAATTTTTATCTCTAGGTGTGGTCGTGCGTCCTCTTCTACATACAGGACAATATCTCCGGAGGCGTTTCCCTGTGGGAAGACGGTTTGTTGAGAACCAACGTTGTTAGCCTCAAATCGCTCTTGATACCGGGGACCACGGTAGCCAGTACTGGCACTGGGATGGTATGCAGACTCTTGAGCCTGGTAACGGGGTGCAAATTGCCTGGTTCTGGAGTTACTTGGCACGGTCTCTAACTCTTTTCTCAAAAGTTCACATTCTTTTGCGGCTTTCCAAAAGGTAAACAAATCACTGAAATCTGTCTTGCGGATCTGTTGCCTGTATTCGGGCAGAAGATTACGGTACAATCTCTCTAATTGCTGTTCACTGGTAAACGACCCATGTCTCCTCATGAGGGTCTGCAAGTCGGTAATGTAGGAAGTGACGGGTTCGTTCCTACGATGCAATCGACGGCTAATTTCGGCTTCCAGGTCCAACTGATAGGATACTGAAAAAAAGAATATACGGAAATCGGCCTCGAAGGCCTCCCAAGTTGGCCAATTATCTCGGTTACTACGGAACCACAAGGCGGGTTCTTCGGTTAGTAGTTCGGGGATGTACGGCAGTAGTCGGTCCTTGGAAATTCCCTTGGAAATGCAAATTTCGTCAAGGCGTTCCAAAAATGCGGCTGGATCATTACGGTTTCCAAACGAGAGGTTCCACTCGTGCGTTTGGATAGGTACGGGCCTAACGGAGGGCAGTGGGGGTGTCATGGCGGGGTAGAACGGTTTTCTCACAGATGTGAAAAGAGAGAAAAAAAAATTCTGAGAAAAGAAGATGAACAGAAAATATATTCGGAGAAATAGAAAAGAGAAAAAAAATTCTAACCTTATTCCGGGGGTGGAAAACCTTTAGCAGTACAGTCCCTGCTCGGGCGCCATTTGTGACAGGCTCCTGGTTCACCTACAGTGAATCAGCGAGTCTGTGTGGCGCTATGAAGGTGATTCCCAAATAGGAGTTGCTCAGGCGCCAGTTTTGATATCGCAGTTTGCTCTGCGACCCTGTGGTACACCAGAGTGTACTCAAGGTGAACTCAGTGGAGGTAAAAAATAATTCCAGGCGGTCACTGCTAGGTAATCACTATACTAGAATTAATCAAAAAAATAAAACACTTATCTCCTTTACACCTCGTACCCTACGGTACCCTGAAAGAGAACGGTTAAGAACCAGTAATAAGAGAAACACAGGAATAGGTACTAAAATATATATTTACAAAAATTAATAATACAACGGCAATTAAATATGAACGGCTCCCTATATGCGAAAACTTATTAAAAATAAATTGTTACCAATGAAAACTAATTAAATATTAACGGCTCCCTATATGCGGAAAATGGATAAAAAATAAATTATTATTATCAATGAAAACTAATTAAATATTAACGGCTCCCTATATGCGGAAAATTGATTAAAAATAAATTATTATCAATGAAAACTAATTAAATATTAACGGTTGAAAGTTTCTCTCATGCAGACATCTGGTAGTCCATAGCTTCCACAAGAGAGAAACCCTTTCCCACGAGCTGTTAAAAAACAAAAAAAAAAAAAAAACTAGGGGCTGAAACAGCTCTGACCATCGACAGGGGGAAGCAAGCGAATACCGCTATCACCCCCTGATTAACGCGAAAATGGATTATTAAAAATAAATTAATACACTCGAAAACAATTGAAATATGACTGTAATTAAATGCAAGCAAATAAATGAAATCAAAGTTTTCGGAACGTCCCTGTATCTTAGACGAGGCGATCGGCGGCGCTCTGGTAATTATTGAATGAGAATAGGTTTCAGCGCGGTGTTTGGGAGAAAAATACAATGTTTAACGTAAAAATTATTTTGAGATTTGACGGTGTGTGAATTGATTTTACAGAAATCGTCGGCTTCGTTCAATAATTAGTTGTGGACGGAGAACGGAATGATTCAAATACAATTGAATGAGTAAATAAAAGAAAAGAGAAATTTACATGAAAAATACTGGGTGCTTCTTATAAAAAAATTGCCAATGGTTTCCACTAAGGAGTGAAATAAAAAATGCTGGGCATGAATCAAAATTCTTGATTTGTAACACGGGTGTCCCAATTAATTATATGAAAGCCAATATAAAAAAAATATACGGTTCCTACCTTAACAAATCCAACGGGTTAACCAACTACTTATTTACGGTCACGGCACTATACGGCGTCGTCACTATAATTTTTAGAAAGATCAGTACTTCTCGGGTGTCGGGAGTCAAGAGGCGGCATTTTTAGCTTTCCATCAATTTATGCTTTTTCGGTAAAGAAAGATGGAAGACTAGTACGACAAAGTGGGGATATCACTACTACAGCCGACTGTTTACAATTCAGAAATACAAAAAATGTCCTTCTTGTACCTTGACAATTAAAAGTAGATAATTCATACGAAATCGACTCTAAAAATGCCCATTCGGATTTCGGCAAATAAAAGGATATTTTAACCTACGAGGGTACTCGCAATTGTTGAAAATCGGTCATTTTTGGGAAACAAAAATACGGGGGAACTTCTACATGTTCTCAGGCGGGAATTAATTGAAATATACATTTTTAAGATGAATTAAAAATAAAATTTAGTGACTTCGTCACAATGTATGACTTTCAGAGTAAGTACCAAGAAAAAGTTTTTAAGTATTAAGTACAATTTATTTTTTTTATACGAATCAAGTACCAGTAAAAGTATCAATAAAGAAGGAAATAATTAAAATATAAAGTAAATTGACTTGAATTACCCAAATTTAAGTATAAGTAGCAAATTCCACGAAAATCTGAGTCAAGTTTGTATTTTAATAATTCTCAAGTACACAATTTTGAAAGCTTTCAAGTAAACATATTGTAATGATTGTTTAATTTATTTATAGTTTATTTATTTAAAACACACTATTTATAATTTATTTATGACGTACTAATTAATTTATATAATACTTAGGCACTAACAATTCTAATTTATTTACTACAATTTATCATTTCAGTCCAATACTTTATTCTCAGCTACTCGTTCGTCGACGAACTTATTTTTTTTTTTCAAAGCCCACTTTGTACTCGTAGTTTCTAGACGCACTTGAATGTCACCCAAAAATTCCATCTTTATGACTCAACGGTCACGTATTGCTTTTTCTGGTAGGTTCGAGAAGTGGAGCGTTTGTCTCTATACGTTAGCGGTGTTTCGACCATGAGTCGAGTGGTAGGCTGAAGATCGCGCTTTACAGGGACGGCTTAGGCATTTCCATGACAATATATTTTAAGTATTTACTTTAAGAATTTTTTTAAATACTCAGTACAACAGCTCTGATGGTTTTTGCCAAACTTCTTTGTATAATTAAATTATTATAATAGACTATAACAACGCATCGGAATTTTTAATCCTAATTACTTAGAAACAATCAATAATGGTATTCGTTTATTTAAGAATTTAATATACTCAAACCTTTTATCCATTTGTATACTATAAGAGATGTTCCCAGAAAATACAAAATATAAATGATTCAATGAAGAAAAAAAATGCAAGTAATTTCCAAACGACTTGTTTCATTTATGAATATAATATATTCGAAGTACATCCTGTAAATCTTTACCTTAATGGTCCAAGGATATCTTCAAACAATGTTGCCACATAAAATTTACTTCTACTTAGTACATATTTTATAGCCAAAATAGGTGTTTACTATACCCCTGAAATCACTGGTTTTGGCTTGTATACTATTAAATCGTGGATTACCCTGTCGAATGTCTGGAAGAAATCCATATAGATAGAGTATACCGAATTGCCTTTCTGCAGTGCTCTAACAAAAAAATAATTTTGACTTCTACAAGTAACAATGTGATTCTGAGATAATTTATAATTCTTTTTTAGAAAACACTTATTTAAATGATGAAGCATCAGCTATTTTGTGGAGTGTTATAAACACTATGTATTTGTTATGGAAATATATAGAAACTACTAAAAGTGCTGATTCTGATTTGGTAAATATATTTTATATCTCATCCATTGCCGCGTTTGAAAATCCACATCCGATGCATTTTTTACATCTCAAGTGTTTGTTTATCGGACACATCTACTACATCTACATTTGTTTATCCGAGCTGTACCTGTCCAGATTACATTTTTTACATCTCGATTTGAAATGAGATGTTTGTTCAATGTCAGAAAGTAAGTGAACTGTTAAGCCAAGTTTGTCAATTTATCCTTTGTTTATGCTAGCATGAATATAAAAGTGATTAATTTGTTTAATTTTTAGTTAGATTTTAAATTAAGGTTGATTTGTAGTCTCAAAAGTCAAATTTAAAAAGTAAACTTCTAACTTGTCATTGACATTTTATCATGTAACCAATAAAGTTTATTACATCTACATTCAGATCTAATGCTCTATCACGTGATAAAAAATTCATAACATCTCAGATGCATCTGATGTGAATATTCAAACGTGGCACAAAATTAAATAAAATTTACTTTTATCTAAAATACCACATTACGGAACATTTAAGTATGCAGTGTATGTTTAAAATTGGTTCGTAGAACTATTGTATTAAATTTGATTAATTTTCAGAAAAATATATTCGTCTCTGCAGACGCCACGAAATTTTTAAACCATTTATTGGCGAATTTCCCATATTGCCAAAGCGACCGCAACTTATTAACAAAGACAAAGATGGAGCTTAAATCGAATACATTATTTTTAGGCGTCAGCGGCGATCCGAATTGCGTCAGGGAAAATATAATGATATGCTACATGTGCTTCGTGTTAAACGTCAATTTTACGCGAAATACTTCCAAGAAAGAATTAGAGCGTGTGGCAGTTTATGTTAACAGTAAGTTTTTCGTACTATTTTGAAAATTGTATCACTATGATTTAATTTTTAACGTGACATTTGACATTTAACAATGACATTTCCAATAAAACTGTTGGACACGATCAAAAAGCACATATCTTCTAGAGACCCCACGCCAACGTTAGACTTTTAAACCAAATTAGCGCCACCTTGTATTTGGAGCAGGAACTAAAATGACAATTAACAGATGGCGGTAAATTCAATTTGTAATTTCATAAGAGAAAAACACCAAATTTTAAACTTAAGGCTTGCGTCTGACACACAAGGAATCGCATTTCGTGCAAGAAAAAGATGGGTATAACTTTCCGCAATGAAGGTGTCCCGGGACGTGGCGGTCCCCGGCAGTGAGTAAAGGAACTTAAAAATATCTAACCATCGAAGAATATTTTTCTACTTCTGCTTTCAAGCCTTCAACCGTTGAGAAATTTACACAAGCAGACCCGGAATTAGTATCGTTTTAGGAAGAAATTTGAAAAGTTTATTTCTAGTTTATAAATTACCTTTCTTGTCATAAAAAGTTTTAATTATAGTATGCTAAAATACAAATAAACCACTTTAACTTTCTTAGCAAAAATCAAAAAAATCTAAACAAGCGCGTAAAGAAGAGAAACTTTGGAATGCACCAACTTATATAAATCAAATTGTGTATGTATATGCATATTACATATGAACATAAGAGGTCAATTTTTATTTAGATAATTTTACTTAGTTTATGTTTTGTAAGATGTAAAAGCTAACTATTTTGGAATCAATGATACCAGGTAGAAAAAACTATTGGAATTCCATGCAAACAACAGTCAATGGACTTGAATAGTTTTACATAATATACCTACATACATAAAATTCAAAAACTATAAGCAGTGCCACAACAAATACCATAAAATATACCTCCCATATCCCTTTCTTACTTGATTGATATCTCTGTTTACCTTATAGGGGGTATACGATTTGTCATATAAAACATTGAATTTGTGTTAGATTAAAGCGCATAAACTATTTTAGTCGGCTTCAACAAATTCGTGTCTATCTCTTTTTAATCCCTTATTTGAGCTGTCGTCTGATTCATGTTTACCTGTTATTAAAATATTCAATAGATGATACTGGAAATTCCTAATAAGATTTAATTCCGGGAATTAAATATTTTATTATTCGTTATTAAATAACTATTTTTTAATTGGCATAGTTTATTTTTCAATTCAACCAATAAAACTATTATCTTCGTATATGTTCTGAATTTAACAAGTATTGTAATGATTTAGGTTTATTTAATTTATTCTTATATAGGTACAATATAGTAGTTTGTTCATGGCCATATCGCACGCAGACAAAATTTGAGCACGGCGACGTTAGTGGAGTGCTCCTAAATCGTCTGAGTGTGATATGGACAATCTACTCGAGTTGTACAGCATATTTTTTCTACAACCTACTAATAAAAATCTGCAAATAGTATTAAAAATTATGTTAGGTTATTAAGATAAAATAACTAATTTAAACTTTCACTAGTTTATAAAATATAATAAACAAGAAAAAAGGCAAATGCTCTGAACTCACTACCATCGAGGTGCTTAAAATTTTTTTCTTTAATACTCGTAATTAAATTGACTTTATATAGTTTTATTAAAATTAACGAAATATTTATAAAATTATAGACCAAACAAAAATAGAAATGCTATTATTATTTATCGAGTCTACACAAGAATAACTCATTTTAATGTATATTTAATCTCAATAACTAAACATTTTTTTACTGACAATTAGTTTGACAGAAATGTTACTTATTTGAAATTTTATAAATAATAGTAGTTGGTTGATCAAAATAGGAACTGTGATTGGTGGATTTTATTTTTTGTAGTGTTCTTACTACCTATAATGGATATGAAATATATTTGTTTAACTAAACGCAATACCATTCTTTTTCGTTTTGTACTCTATGTGTAGATAATCTAATATCCTTGTGAGTAGAGAAAAAAATTATTTTCGTTTCCTAGATGTTTTGCAATTTCATGTTTTCTTTCACTATTATACTAACTTTCTTATATTATCAGCTTACACTATATAATAGTTTGTGCAACAAGAGTGGATATGATGGCTATATCGCACGAAGACGAAATTTGAGCACGACGCCGTAGTGGACAATCCACTCGAGTTGTACATATGTTACAAATAAAAAAAATATTTATTATTAGGTTATTAAGACAAAATAACTAATTTTAAAATAATTTATAAATTTTACAGATTTTTAAAATCAAATAAATATAAAAAAAAACATCGCCAGTCTAGAATCGTTCCCGGCTTTTCGCGTGGAAGTCAAACACACTGCCACGCGTCCACGTCCACTTTTACGATTTTGGTAAATTTATTTATTTATTTATTTTATCCACTGAATGTCCAGTCCATGGTGGATATTTATTTTATATCCATGAGATGTAATTTATAGACATTCAAATGTCCATAAATAATAGTAATTATATAGCAAATTATGAAAAAATTACGCCATTGTGCTCGTCATTGTGGCTAATAGTACCGTTCAGATATTTAAAATTATTTTTTTTAAGGTGTATTCAATATCCTATGGACATCCACAAAATATATCAAAGTCTAGGCGCGAACGCAAACCATGGTGGATATCCACTAGATGTAATTTTTGATTTTGCTTACTAAGTATAGATGGCGACACCACTTTCACTCGTTGAATATCTACTCATGCTCAACCCGCCGTAATTGATTTTGATCGAAATTGGTAACTTAATCAGACTCCATTAGAGACGAGTCGAGAATTTCCATTTATCGTTGAAAAGTCCTAATAAGGATGACTTTCTCCTTAGTGGGCAAAATCAAAGGCAGAGTGTTGAAAATATTTTGAGTGTTGAAAATATTTTTTATCTCTGCTATTTTCTTTCGACTTTATTCAATAAACATTGGTTACTTTTATGAACCTCTACTAAAGATACCCATAAAATATTTTGCTGAATATCTTCGATATCCTGGGATATAGACGGACATTTGGATATCCATATTAGATCCACTGAATATATTGGATATCAACAACATATATTCTGTGGATATCTCTGGGATTTCTTGTATTGTCTGGAAGATACCCATTAGATATTTTGCTGGATATCCATAGGATATCTTCTATATTCTGGATATAAACGGACATTTGGATATCCATATTAGATCCACGGGATATTTCTGATATCCTGTGGATATATTGGATATCCACAAAAGATATTCTGTGGATATCTCTGTGATTTGGTGTGTTGTCTGGGTAATATCCATGTGGGTGTAGAAAAAATTAATATTGATAACGTAATAGCGGATACTTTTTTGGATTTGCATCCCAATTGTGCAAATAAATTAAAAGTAAAGCCATTATTTTAAATATAGATTCAGGATATTAAAAGTTGCATGGTGTGGCTATTTAATTTAAATGCGACATAGGAATGTATATGGTCCGTTTACATTGGCCTGGCGTATTCACATTTTAGTGGTGCAATAGCGAAAGTTATTTAAATATTTACGGACTGTTTTAAAAACTACTGCAGGTAGAAATTAGTAAATATTATGGGCTCTCAGCTCTCGAGTTAAGTTTCACGGAAATGTACAATCGTTATCTCCTCTAATGTCCCCACTTCAAACCATTGCATTCGACAAAATTGTTTTGGCCGGACTCAGGATATTTGAAAGGATTGTTGAACTTGATATTATTGTAGGGTCTCATTACGATTAGAAGAACACAGCTACGTCATCATTTGGCAACGAATTAATTGGTGATCGCCGCCTATTGGGGGTTAATATTATATAAATATAGGAAATATTAACAATTTACTTAATTATTGTTTATTGAAAGTTATAGATAATATGCATTCGAAATTCGAATACATATTATCTATAACTATATATAAATAAAAAATAAGTAAGTTGTTAGTTATAATACTATATTTCCTAGATTCCTATAATATTAACCCCAGTAGGCGGCGATAATTAATTAACTACATACTTTGCCAAATGATGACGTAGCTGTGTCCTTCTAATTATTGTAATCGGAACCTAGTAGTGTTCATAGAAATAACTATTTTAAATGTTGTATGAGGTGGTGTTTGAGATTTTTTTTTTAAAGAAAGAATTTAAAAACCAGCTGCTTCAGATATCAAAAAAAATATTTTTTAAAATAAAACACGTAGCTACGATTAAAGTAAATACTGATTTTTTATAACAATATTAAATGTATAATGTATTGTTGTTTTTGCATTAAATACAAAACCCAAACAGTTTGTTTAGTTGCGTGACAAAGTACCTAATAACTCTAAGCAACAATAAAAAAATAAAGGTAAGATTCCAATTTTGTCGGACATTATAAATATTTCAAAAATTTTTAAGTTATCCATTTTCTATCCCAGCATGTCATTAAATATTTTCAAGGTACTATTTCTCAAGACGAGACCGACTTCAAAACGCGACGCGACAGCGAGAGACCAAAAGCGGTTTCTTCACGTCTTAACACGTAATTATATTGAAACATTTCGGTAGACGAGACCGACTACAGCAGATTTAGTATGGCAATATATGCCGCCTTACTGCTGTCTCGGTCTCTTATCGTTTGTCGCTCGTTCCCAAATGGTACCTTGAGTCTTCTTAATCCAAGGGTCCGCGATTCGAACCCCACCGTGAGCAGGCATTTTTTTAATATTTATTTATTTAAAAATAATTCTGATCCGTATGTAGGATTCTCCACTCTAACCATTCACTGTTGGGTTCTAATTGCCAGTTCTGATCCTAAAATGGGAAACCGTGACAAGGCCTGTCTGTAGGCGTGTATTAAAGTACTAGCACTCCTGCAATATGGAGTATTAGACTACTAGTTATACTACTAGCAATATTAACTTAAAATTTTTAGTAAAAATTAAGCTATAAGGGGATAAAGCCTATTGATTCTGAACAAAAATTGAATAAAAATGGGAGGTTAAGGAGGGTCTGTTAAACTGTGAAGAGTATAATATAGAATGCCAAGCATTATATATCTTCATTCTGGTTGGAGGGTTAATGAGCGTACATTGAATTGTATATATCCCAATTTCTTTTTGTTTTGATTTTATATCAAAACTACCTTGATGCCAAAAATATATCTCATGCATGAATGTCACAAATATGGCCATACGTATATGTAGGTGTTTGTGTGTCTCTAATGAGTTGATTAGATTTTGGGCATATTCGGAACTTTATAGAGAGTCGTTTTTCTACTTTAAGGAATATATGTTATTTACGCTTGAAGAAAAAAATTCGTCAAATAAAAGTTGCTGGTGATATAAAATTCAATTAAACAAAATGAGAAAAGTATGTAGGTATTTGACTAATATCGAAAATCTTTTACCACAAATGATTGGTTTTCAATTGTTTCTTTTGCAGTATACATGCCATTGAGATCAATACGATTTTCATGTAAAATTGGTATTAGCGTATACTCTGTATAATCTCATACTATTTAATTTGTTATAATCGAAAAAGCGAGGGCAATTCAAATATAAAATAAAGTGTCCCATTTAAAAAACCTAACTTTGATATGTATCACATTCTTGAAGAACCCTGTATAATTGAAATTATTTTTAAATTGTTGGTTTTTGGGACATACATCTCATTGTGAAAACAAATTTTAAAAAATCACATGGTTATGGCTCTACAGACCAAGGCGTTATCAGTGGCCCACCCTGTATATAAGATATTACCTTACAAGGCCATTTTTTATTAATTTGAGTGCAAGAAAAATATGTAGGTATGTATAAATGTTAAAAATGAATTCCGTGAAGCTAATTTTTAAAAATGTCAAATAGACATCTCTATAAAGATGTTTGTTTTTTAGAGAAAACAAAATCAAAATTTAAAAAAAAAACATTACATAAATTTAGCCTAAAAAATATTAAACATTGGTAAACAGTATTATAAAGTTAGAGTATGTATTTATTTTTAAAATTATTACCAATAATTACAAAAAATGGCAGTGGATTAAATTTCATTAGGAAATAAAAATACTTTTTAAGGGCAACAACCACATTTGTTAATAATATATCGAATTATTTAATTAATTAAATACAAAAACGCTGGTATTAAAATTGTATTTGTTCCGGCCCTGTCTGCCTCAAAAGCAACGGTAATGCAAATGACTAACAACGACTAATGTTCTAAAGCGACATCTGTTAAATTACCTTGACGTTCTTACAGTACAGAATCCTACAAGCTTTGGATATGGCGTATATTATCTTTCATCTGCGTTGTCCCTAGCCGATTAGGTGAATTAATAATTAGCTTTTATTTCAAACCAAACTTTCAGGAAAACCAAACATTATTTTGAAGTGCGATTTGTTTCATTTATTTGATATGGTAGTTGTACGGGTGGTAACGAAAAGAAAACGTCTAAATATGTTTATTTTTAAAGTAAATACGTCGACAAGTCGAGGGTTTCTATGTGATTTTGACACCAAGGATCAAAGTCATTTTTCGAGTATTTTTAAAAAACTCTGCTTCTTTAGATTTCTTCACAACCCGTAGGCATTATTCATGAACTGATTTCTATATTTAAATTAATGCTACGAAGTATACTTTTCCCGAAAGCTTCGTCAAAAGTAACCTCTGCATATACGGGAAATTAACATGGGCGATCGCCGGCCTTAAGTTTTAATCCATTCTGTGGTGGGCTGATTAAAGTTTGGGCATAGTCCAAGCATCTGGGGAATACTTTACAGGGTGTCATTTTTTTACTTCCAGAAAATAAATAGTCTGAACCGTGTTTTCTTAGGCAACCCATTTGCGGTACATTTATAAACATATTTTATTTAATAAAAAGAAACTTTCATCCATTAAACAGATGAGTGAAGGCTGACCTTACTTCGGATCTTAGACCATATGTATATAAACACAACATAAAAATGTTTTTCTTTAATTTGGTACCTATATTTATAGATTATTTTAATAAAACTGGGTTTTTGTTTTATTGTTTTTTTAAAGTATATTATACTGTTCATACATCCTAGAAACTGACAATATATATTTTTTATTTCTGATATAAATATAAATTTTATGTTTATTCTGAAGTCCAACGGGTCCTTGTTTTCTTCTATAAAATTATTTGTAACTGGCTGATTCTTAAAAAAAAAAATAGAAATTGATGTCCTTAATGTTTTCTATAAACCGGGATTGTCAATTATGAAAAGATTTTTTTAATAAAACTACTGTACTAGATGTACGAATTTATGAAACAAATTTTATTTCTTATGTGATAAAAAAAAGATATGTCCAAGAAAGTACCCTGAAAATCATTGCCTCACTATGTCCCAACTGCTAAATTCGAAGATAATTATTAACTTAAAACGCAAAATACCTTACTAATTGTTATCTTATTTTTTACTTATATAGGATAGTATTGACTACCTACATGAGTTCATAGTTTAAAAAATGCGAATTGAAATATTTTTAAATATAATTCAAAATTTGTCTTTGAAAAATCTATCATTCCCTTACCATTTTGAAACAGTGTGATTGGAGCGAAATTAAAAGGCCTACCAAGCCCCACTTGACGTTTTTTTTTTTAGTTTTCAACATAGGCCTCGATAACATACACTAGAGCGGACGGTTGAAGAAAATAAGTTTTGTTAAAAATAATTTAACAAGTTTTTTAAAGCCATTTTCGACTTCTTTTGAGAATTAGCCAACTATTTTTTACTAAAAAGTTCATGTTTCTTGCTTTTTGTTGTGTTTAATAATAATATGCTTGTAAGAAACCATGTCATCTGCTTTTAAATGTAGGGTGAACAGAGCTGCAATTAATTTAATAATGGTGAATGATATTTTCAGTATAATACTCCAAAATCTTACCATAAGCCTTTAATTTCAGTTTAGGCCGGGTCCCTTTATTACTTCTAACGATTTTTGTCTGTAAAAGTTAAAAATTATTTGGAACTTTTGGCAGGTAACAGCATCGTTACGGCTAGCTACAGGCTTGCCAACATTTCAAAATATTTCGGGATATAAACAAAGTGTGATCCGAATTCAGCTCTTAGGCCGTACCATAATCCAATATGTTTAAAATAAACCATTCACACAATAATATTTCTATTTATAATTCAAATAAAAAGTAATTCATTTGAAATTTGATGGAAATCATTACATGATTTTTTCTTGCTGTTTTGTAGCTTGTCTTCCAAAAAATAACACTACCGATATTATAAAAACTCTAACACCAGAACAAAGTTCAAAAATAAAAATATAAATACCACTAAATAACAATAAAATATTAGATTTTTTAAAAAATCAATTTAGGACACCAGGGAAAATATTTTCTGTCAACTCACTTTTTCATTCCCTGACGTCATTGCGTCCTTAGCAACCATGACGAGGCCACCGTGTTGTCTACGAACCGTGGGTCACGTTGTCGACAATATCTTACTAGCGTCTATTTCTTGTGCTCTACAAATGAACCTGCTTCTGTGGCGCCTTCTAGTGAAGTAAGGTGAAGTGATAACGACAGCTGTTCAGTTCGATCGTGCTTGTTAATTTGTTATGTGTTCTGTCAAATTTTGAAAATTTAATTGCAACGTTGCCGGATTGTGTTAAAATTAGTAGTTAATGGAAAATTGTGATTGCCCATACCGGTCCATAAATATGCAACAAGAAAACGAAGCAACGACTTATCGTAGGGTAGCGACTTCGTCGCCACCAAAAAACATCAACCCATACCTGGCTACGCCGACCGGCATAGACTCCAACGGCTTGAACACAGCTCAAATTGAATTGAAAACGTTAACTTTTCACATAATTTCTTGCGATTGCGCCAGTCCATAAATATGCAACAAGAAAAGGAAGCAACGACTTATCGTAGGGTGGCTACGCCGACCGGCATAGACTCCAACGGCCTGGACACAGCTCAAATTGAATAACTGGAGCTATTGAAAAAACAGCCACTGTCATTCCTGTTATGTACGTTCTTTTACTATGTTTGTCAACTCCACATTTATAGAAATACAAATATCAGTTGTCATATTATTCATGAACAAAAAATAATATAGAACGGTATTACCATGAATATATTTATTTAGAACAAATAACAAAAAGCAATTGGCAACATCGCTAAAATTATTGAAACGGTCACTTTTGCGCGCGTTAAATCATTTGAAGGTCAATGCTGGGTTCATTTGTAGAGCACAAGAAATAGACGCTAATCATAAACTTCTGTTTATCAATTTTTTTTTTTTTTGTAGAATGTCTTCTGACACAGAAGTACGTAGATCAAAGCAACGTTCAGTACGTTATCGAATTCATTAAACTGAGTCTGTTGGAGAACTGCCATGTTTGGAGGAAATCTAAAGTAAACGCTCGCGAATTATTGGAAAACGTTTTAGTTTTCTACAATAACGCTGCGATCGGCGAAAAAAACAAGATGAGACTGTTCAAGATTTTCGCCGGTCTTCTGGATAATGCCTTTTTGTCAAAGTAAGTTGAACAGTCAATCGTATAGAGTAATAGCCATTATTGCGAGTCGACTACAATACATTTTCTACAACTATTTGCTACTTCATTTCGAATTATAATAAATATAACCTAAGTATGTGTTATCTGTTCGTTAGGTCTGTTTCGAAATTCGATAGGTTCGTAACTATCCCATTAAATTTTCGAAAGAATGCTATTTTTTCCCTCAGATGCTTTAAGAAAATTAAATTTTCCTTCGGGAAAGTTGATGTTCACCAATGCAATATTTCTATATTCTGAGTGAATCACATCATAGTAGGTAAAGGTTGAATTTTGGTCGTCTTATTATTTATTTTTCTTATTTGTTTGAAATCGAGGATACAATACTGTTAAACAGCACCTTTGAGATGAAATAAAATGAAATAAATTTATCGATTTTCAATAGTTTGAAGATATAGTAGGATAATGCTACAGTAAAAAGAGACGATTTAATGAAATAGTCAATTTTTAATGCTATGCAGATACGCCCTCTACGTCTTCTTTTCAATGAGGCACGTGGCCTCTACTTTGTATCACCTACCTATTAAAATATCTTTATTTATTTAAAAATAACAATTTATGATAAAAGACAGAAAAAGTTAAACATAATAATGAAAATTAACAAAATCGTACAAATACAATTTTTGGATGAAGGTGATAAAAAGTGGTTAACTCTTTCGCGTCGGGAGCCGCAAAAATGCGCAAATACTCGAACGCTATTTATACGGGAGACGAATTTTTTTGATGGCTGTGAGGACCATTTAAACACGAATCCGACATAATATGCTTATGAGGTGATCAACAAGTTATAACCTGTCTGTAGTATAAAGCTGCGCTACGCTAAATAGTGTTGTATTGGCAGTTGTTTCGCGAACGTGTGAGGGAATACATTCCTATTAAGTTTTATAAAAGAAAAATAAGTAAATTAAAATAAAATGAGTAATAAACATAAAAGACCGTTGACGGAAGCAGAAATTGATAGGCTATTAGAATCTGATAACGATGAGCATGAAAAATATGATTTTGATCTAGAAAGTGACTCAGATGGTAGTGACTATTTACAAAATATTCACAGCGATAATATGGAAACCGATTTCTCTGAAGAAGAATTGAGTGATGATGAGATTGATAGGGAAAATATTCCAAATAAAAAATTAGCTGTTGCTTGTGGATCTAAAGATGCCAGTCGAAAAGGTAATATTATAAATTTATAAAAAAGCGTACACATATTTTTTATAAATTTTGTTGTCATAAATGAGTTGACATATTTTAATTTTCAGGAAAATCCATAAAAAAAATCAAGTAATGCACTTTGGAAAAAAACTAATGTAGTTTCAGTACCAAATAAACCTCCAAATAAATACCCATTCAATATGTTGAACTCAGGTTGCTCAGATAAAGTGGATAGTTTTAAAATACTAGACTGTTTCGAATATTTCTTTTCTGAAGATATTGTGGTAAAAATTACTGAACAAACAAATTTATTTCACATGCAACATGGACACGAACAGTTTTCTCATTAAAAAAAATGGAGCGATGTCACAAAAGAGGAAATGTACTGTTTTATTGCAATTTCGCTTCTGATGGCACAAGTAAAGAAGCTGAAGTTAATAGATTACTGGTCGACAGATTCATTATTATCCACACCAGTGTTTGGACAAGTTTTTAGTAGGGATCGGTATAAATTGATTTTACAAAATCTACATTTTGTGGATAACAACAGTGACGACAAAACGAAAGACGATAAATTATATAAAATAAGACTGGTTCTGAATCATTTGCAAAAGGCATACAATAATGTATTCTATCCATTCGAAAATTTGTGCATTGATGAAAGTCTTATGCTTTTCAAAGGGAGGCTCTCATTTAAACAGTTTATCCCCAGTAAAAGACATAGATTTGGTGTTAAATTTTTTGTTCTTTGTGACTGCGAAACTGGTTACATATTGAACTTTATCATATATTGTGCAGGATCGGATATCAAAGAAGTACAAGAAGATGTAGGTATTTCAGGAAATATTGTCGTCACACTTATGGAAAAATATCTAGATGCTGGGCATACACTGTATACTGATAATTGGTATACTAGCCCTAATTTATATAACCTTTATTCAAGAAAGACAAATGCATGTGGTACAGTAAAACAAAATAGAAAAACATGCCAGCATTGATAAACAAATTAAAACGTGGTGAAATAGAAAGCTACAATTCAACCAATCTACTATCACTTAAGTGACAAGATAAGCGTGAGGTACGTATGTTGTCTACCTTTCATACGTCAGATATTGCTCCTACAGAAAAAAAACTATCGCACAAATAAATACATGTTAAAACCAAAAGTGATAATCGATTACAATAATAACATGGGAGCTGTAGATCGTACCGACATGTTACAAAGTTCCATTGCATCTGTACGAAAAAGTATTAAGTGGTACAGCAAGTTATTTTTTCACCTTCTTGATATGTCGCTACTGAATGCACATGTCGTATATAAGATGAAGTCTGTAACCAACATATCAGTAGCAGATTTCCAGCTTTCTTTGGTAAGAGAAATCCTTCAAAAATATCATGTTGACAAACCGCGAGCCTCAAGTATGAACGCAAATCCACCTTTGCGATTAACTGGAAGGCATTTTCTGAGTCATTTGGAAAAAATGAAAACAATAAACAAACAAGAAAAAGATGCGTCGTTTGTTCAAAGAAAAAACAGAGAAAAGAAACGACTTATTTTTGCCAAATGTGTGGTGCGGCATTGTGTTATTCCCTGTTTTCAAATGTACCACACAAAAATGGGATATTGGTTGTAAAAAATAAGTTTTTTTTAAGCTATTGCATAGCTTTTATCGCGGGCTTTGAGTGGCGACCGAATCAAGATATTTCATAACACCGTAACGAAAAAAACCTAACACCCCCACTCCGACCGGCACAGCGGTATGGCGTTATAGCCATGGAAGGTTTTATCCGACCCTATTCGTATTAGTATGAAGCGGAGTTAAATATACGTCTGCGGACTGGAACATTTATGCAACTAGAAGAGCTTTCTCTGGCTTCTAATAAATTGGTATCACAAATGTTTTGCAAGATTTATATAGTATATTACATTTCCAAATAAAAAAAAAAAAATTAAAAAACAAAAAAATAAATAAAAAAATTCTGGCCCCGTCGGGATTTGAACGCGGTCGCTTACCAGGTCTCAAATGGCAAAGTTGATAAGTTTGACGCTCTCATCTCATCTAAGATAATAGGCCATGGTCAATTTAATGATCTAATCGGTTATGTGTTTAACCAGAATAAAGAGCAAACATATCTTAGTTATTTTAATAATAAGATAAATATCTAGGATCTAATTTACAACAATTTCAATAATTTAACAATCATCGATTTTAGTATTAATATGGACATTACAAAGATCAAAATAGAAATGATGCATTTGACATTTTGTGATAGCTACTGCGGAAAGTAGCATATTTGTACACGGGTGGAAAGTAAATTCTTATTCATACGCGTGTGATATAGGGCACTTTCCATAGGACTATACCGGGTGTTCAAATTAAAGGGTTACAGCTAAATACCGCCTTTTATAAAACAAACGTTTCAGACGAAAGTTTTATAGTTTTGTGGGGAAAAAATTTTGGCTAAAAATTTTTTTTATAGCTAACCATAATATGGTCAACTTTTTTTTCGCCCAGCAAAATTTTCAAGTAGCTGTTACTCAAAAAGTAAAAGTCCAATAAAAAAAATATTTCCATCAAAAGTTTCTTATTTTTTTATGTACTTAAAGAATATGTAAAATAAAAATGGGATTCCCATTTAAAAAAAAAACAAAGTCCACCTCGATATGGCCATATTATGGTCAGCTATAAAAAAATGAATTTAGCCAAAATTTTTCCCCCAAAAAACTATAAAACTTTTGTCTGAAACTTTTTTTTCTAAAATGCATATTTTCGGCGGTATTTAACTGTAACACTTTAATTTGAACACCCGGTATAGTGTGATGTGTCACTTTCCTAAGTGGTCGTAGGAAAACATATTAATTTTTAAGCTATTGCATAGCTCAAGCTCAAGAAATTCCGTAACGAAAAAAACCTAACACCCCCCCCACTCCGACCGGTACAGCGGTGCGCCATTAAACAATATTAACTTCTCATTTATTCAATAAAAGAAAATCGAAAAAACGAAAAATCCAAAAATCCAAAAATCCAACAATCGAAAAATCGAAAAACCGAAAAATCGAAAAAGAAATTCCGTAACGAAAATGAACATAACACCCACCACTCCGACTGGCACAACGGTGCGGCGTTGAAATCCGTGTATTTTCTAACGTCGTTTCAGTTCGGCAGACTTTGGTATGGTGTTTGTGTGCGTGCGACTAGACGTATGCGTGTAGACTAGCTGCTAACTGCTCATAACTGATTCCATCTCTTTTAGACACAATTTCGGAAAAATTGAATTTGAAAATGAATAATGATCCATAAGAATCCACAACAAAATATGGGACCACCATTGACGCGGTATTTTACAGATATTTAGAGGATATCAAGTCTCAAACTTATGTTTCTTATTTCAGTTACCATACACCTATAGTTTCAATGATAAAAATTCCTGAATAACCTACATGTATTGTAAGATAATAAAAATATTTTAAATAATATTAACTTCTTATTTATTCAATAAAAGAAAAAAATTGTTTTCTTATCGGTCACCACGCTCAAAAAGAGTAACTTGAATTAATATTAAAGAAAAAACTTGAATTAATATCAAATAAAATAAATAAATAATTATAATTGCATAAGTTGATAAAAAATGCTATGCAATTGCTTTACCGCGGCAGTTCCTGAGTGCCACACGTATTTTTTTATTTTAAAAATTCTCTTATTTAAGTTTCTTATTGTCCAATAAAATGTTTTGTCTTGTTTATTTGATTATTTTTTATTACTTCCAATATCACATTCAAAAACCCGGGAAACGCAATAATGCGCACATGC